AGACAAGTTAAACTCTTTTCCCGTTCCGATGACGTACGGAGTCGGAGGAAAAACTCAAAACAACTTTCTGGGTACCGAGGCTCTCCCCCCACCCACCCCCACCCCACCACCCCCCACCCCCCCACGAGCTATCGTAGCGGCGGTCGTGTCGATACACTTGTCTGCGGTGAGTTACAGTGAGGTGTCTTCTCAAAACAGCGGCGCTGCTACTACTACTGCTGCTACTATTACTGCTATTGCTGCTACTGCTGCTGCTGCTACTGCTGCTGCTACTACTGCTGCTGCTACTACTACTGCTGTTACTGCTATTGCTGCTACTACTGCTGCTGCTACTGCTGCTGCTACTACTACTACTACTGCTGTTACTGCTATTGCTGCTACTATTGCTGCTACTACTGCTGCTGCTACTGCTGCTGCTACTACTGCTACTACTACTAATACTGCTACTACTGCTGCTACTGCTGCTGCTGCTACTACTACTTCTGCTACTACTACTGCTGCTGCTACTACTGCTGCTGCTACTACTACTGCTGCTACTACTGCTGCTACTACTGCTGCTACTACTGCTGCTGCTACTACGACTGCTGCTACTACTACAGCTGCTGCTGCTACTGCTGCTACTACTGCTGCTGCTACTACTTCTGCTACTACTACTGCTGCTACTACTGCTGCTGCTGCTACTACGACTGCTGCTACTACTACAGCTGCTGCTGCTACTGCTGCTACTACTACTGCTGCTACTACTGCTGCTACTACTACTGCCGCTACTACCGCTGCTGCTACTACAGCTGCTGCTGCTACTACTACTGCTTCTGCTACTACTGCTGCTGCTACTACTACTGCTTCTGCTACTACTGCTTCTGCTACTACTCCTGCTGCTACTACCGCTGCTGCTACTACCGCTGCTGCTCTGCTGCTACTACTGCTGCTGCTACTCCTGCTGCTACTACCGCTGCTGCCGCTACTGCACTGCTCTACTGCTACTACCGCTGCTACTACTGCTGCTGCTACTACTACTACTGCTGCTACTACTACTGCTGCTACTACCGCTGCTGCTACTATTGCTGCTAATACTACTACTGCTGCTGCTACTACTGCTGCTACTGCTGCTACTACCGCTGCTGCTGCTACTACTGCTGCTGCTACTGCTGCTACTACTGCTGCTACTACTACTGCTGCTGCTACTATTGCTGCTAATACTACTACTGCTGCTGCTACTACTACTACTGCTGCTACTACTACTGCTGCTACTACCGCTGCTGCTACTATTGCTGCTAATACTACTACTGCTGCTGCTACTACTGCTGCTACTGCTGCTACTACTGCTGCTGCTGCTACTACTGCTGCTGCTACTGCTGCTACTACTGCTGCTACTACTACTGCTGCTGCTACTGCTGCTACTACTGCTGCTACTACTGCTGCTGCTACTGCTGCTACTACTACTGCTGCTGCTACTACTGCTACTACTGCTGCTACTACTACTGCTGCTACTACTACTGCTGTTGCTACTACTACTGCTGCTGCTGCTACTACTGCTGCTACTACTACTGCTGTTGCTGCTGCTGCTACTACTACTACAACTGCTAATACTACTGCTGCTGCTACTACTACTGCTGCTATTATTACTGCTTGAATTATTGCTACTACAACTGCTGCTACTACTGCTGTTGCTACTTCTGCTGCTACTACTACTCCTGCTACTACAACTGCTACTACTACTGCTACAACTACTACAACTACTACTACTGCTACAACTGCTACTACTACTACAACTACTACAACTGCTACAACTGCTACAACTACTGCTGCTATTATTACTGCTTGAATTATTGCTACTACAACTGCTGCTACTACTGCTGTTGCTACTTCTGCTGCTACTACTACTCCTGCTACTACAACTGCTACTACTACAACTACTACTACTACAACTGCTACTACAACTGCTACAACTGCTACTACTACTGCTACTACTACAACTACTACAACTGCTACAACTACTACTGCTACTACTCCCACCTCTAAATAAAATTAACGCTCATAACCGCTGTGCACGCGTTACGAGGTTTGGCGGTGAACGGGTTACACAGTCACACCACCACCCACCCACACCACCACCCACACACACCACCACCCACACACACCACCACCACCCCCACACCACCACCCACACCACTACCCACACACACACCACCACCACCCACACCACCACCCACACACACACCCACCCACCCACACACCACCACCCACACACACACCACCACCCACACCCACCACCACCCACACCACCACCACCCACACCACCACCCACCCACACCACCACCCACCCACCCACACACCACACACACACACCACCACCCACACACACACCACCACCCACACCACCACCACACACACATCACCACCCACACACACACCACCACCCACCCACACCACCACCCCACCCAACCCACTCAACCACACCCACCCACCGCCTCGCGTGCCTTCGTAGACGCCGCTCCTCGCTACTAACAGCGCTTGTCCCCAACAGTCTGCCGCTACACTAACGACGGGGATGCCGTGACGCCGTTCGGCAAGATGAGGTGGATGCCAATGGGCTCTACCCGCTCACTCGCTCGTTCACTCACCCTCTAACCCGCTCACTCACCCGCTCACTCGCCCGCTCACTCACCCGCTCACTCGCCCGCCCACTCACTCGCTCGCTCGCTCACTCGCCCGCTCACTCACCCGCTCACTCACTCGCTCACTCACTCGCCCACTCACTCACTCGCTCACTCACTCACTCACCCGCTCACTCACTCGCTCACCCGCTCACTCGCCCGCTCGCTCACCCGCTCACTCGCCCGCTCACCCGTCCGCTCGCCCGCACGCCGGCTCGCCCAGCACCCCACATCCGGATGGAGTCGGCCGTGGCCGTAGCGAGCGAAAGAAAGAGACAGAGAGAGACACACAGAGAGACAGAAAGAGACAGAGAGAGACACAGAGAGAGAGACAGAGAGACAGAGATACACACAGAGAGAGACACACAGAGAGAGACACACAGAGAGACACACAGAGAGAAACAGAGAGATACACAGAGAGACAGATACACAGAGAGACACACAGAGAGAGAGAAAGAGAGAGACAGAGAGAGACAGAAAGAGACAGATAGACAGAGAGACACACAGAGACACACAGAGAGACAGATACACAAAGAGAGACACACACGGAGAGAGAGACACAGAGAGACACACAGAGAGACACAGAGAGAGACAGACACACAGAGAGACACACAGAGAGACACACACAGAGACACAGAGACACACACAGAGACAGACACACAGAGAGAGATTCTCACAGAGAGACACAGAGAGACACACAGAGAGACACACAGAGAGAGACAGACACACAGAGAGACACACAGAGAGACACAGAGAGAGAGACAGACACACAGAGAGACACACAGAGAGACACAAAGAGAGACACACACAGAGACACAGAGACACACACAGAGACAGACACACAGAGAGAGACACTCATAGAGCGAGAGACAGAGAGAGATACACAGATACACAGAGACAGAGACAGAGAGAGACACAGAGAGAGAGAGACAGACAGAGATACACAGAGAGAGACACACAGAGAGACACACAGAGAGACACACAGAGAGACACACACACAAAGAGAGACAGAGAGACACACAGAGAGAGACACAGAGAGAGACACACAGAGAGACACACACAGAGAGAGACACACAGAGAGACACACACACACAGAGACACACAGAGAGACACACAGAGAGAGACACACACAGAGAGACACACAGAGAGAGACACAGAGAGAGAGACACAGAGAGAGACACATAGAGAGAGACACACACACAGAGACACACAGAGAGACACACACAGATAGACACACACACACAGAGAGAGAGACACACACAGAGACATAGAGAGACACACACAGAGAGAGAGACACACACACAGAGACACACAGAGAGACACACACAGATAGACACACACACACATACAGAGACACACAGAGAGAGACACAGAGACACACAGAGAGACACACACAGAGAGACACACACACAGAGAGACACACACACAGAGACACAGAGAGACACACAAACAGAGAGAGACACACACACAGAGAGACACACACACAGAGACACAGAGAGACACACACACAGAGAGACACACACAGAGAGAGAGTAACAGAGGAACAAAAACACAAAAGGCCCGATGTAGAGCCGACGTTTGAACGGCAGAACGTGTGGACGAGCGGCAGGCCCAAGCGACGGCGGCAGGCCCAGGACCACCCACGTGACCCGGGGGGTAACCTCGTCGGCCAACCTCGTCGGCCAACCTCGTCGGCCGTGAAGCGGGGATCGGTTCCGCCGACGACGGATCAGCCGGAGGGAGCTGACGGCCGTGCAGGCCGTTCATGTCGGCCCTCCGTCATCGTCATCACCGCCGTCACCATCACCACCACGGTCATCACCATCATCGTCATCATCACCGTCACCATCACCACCACGGTCATCACCATCATCGTCATCATCACTGTCACCACCACCACCACGGTCATCACCATCATCGTCATCATCACCGCCATCACCACCACGGTTATCACCATCATCGTCATCATCACCGCCACCACCACCACCACGGTCATCACCATCATCGTCATCATCACCGCCACCACCACCACCACCACCACGGTTATCACCATCATCGTCATCATCACCGCCACCACCATCACGGTCATCACCATCATCGTCATCATCACCGCCACCATCACCACCACGGTCATCACCATCATCGTCACCGTCATCATCACCGCCACCACCACCACCACCACCATGGTCATCATTGTCATCGTCACCTCGCCCGCTATTACCGCCACCACCATCTCCACCATCGTCATCACCATCATCACCATCACCTCGCCCGCTATTACCGCCACCACCATCTCCACCATCGTCATCATCGCCACCACCACCACCAGCACCATGATCGCCATGACCACCACCACCACCACCACCAACTCCTCCTCCTCCTCCTCCTCTTCCTCCTCTCATGAATCTTCGTCTCGTCACCGCCGTCGCCACCGCCGTGGTGGCCCGCGGCCGCCGCGAGGGCTCAGTGATTGTTCTTGGCGGCCTCCTTGGCGGCGAGGATGAGGGGGGTGAGGCTGGCAAGGGGCTTAGCCAGCTTCAGGAATGGGTGCTGCACACAGACACAGCGACCACGTCTACACTCTCTGTGCGGTGAGTCTGTGGGTGTCTCTGTGTGTGGTGAGTCTGTGGGTGTCTCTGTGTGATGAGTCTATGGGTCACTGTGTGATGAGTCTGTGGGTCTCTGTGTGGTGAGTCTATGGGTCACTGTGTGATGAGTCTGTGGGTCTCTGTGTGTGGTGAGTCTGTGGGTCTCTGTGTGATGAGTCTGTGGTCTCTGTGTGATGAGTCTGTGGGTCTCTGTGCGGTGAGTCTGTGGGTCTCTGTGTGATGAGTCTGTGGGTCTCTGTGTGGTGAGTCTGTGGGTCTCTGTATGATGAGTCTATGGGTCTCTGTGTGATGAGTCTGTGGGTCTCTGTGTGGTGAGTCTGTGGGTCTCTGTGCGGTGAGTCTGTGGGTCTCTGTGTGTGGTGAGTCTGTGGGTCTCTGTGCGGTGAGTCTGTGGGTCTCTGTGTGATGAGTCTGTGGGTCTCTGTGTGGTGAGTCTGTGGGTCTCTGTGTGTGGTGAGTCTGTGGGTGTCTCTGTGTGTGGTGAGTCTGTGGGTGTCCCTGTGTGTGGTGAGTCTGTGGGTCTCTGTGTGTGTGGTGAGTCTGTGGGTCTCTGTGTGTGGTGAGTGTGTGGGTCTCTGTGTGATGAATCTGTGGTTCTCTGTGTGGTGAGTCTGTGGGTCTCTGTGTGATGAGTCTGTGGGTCTCTGTGTGATGAGTCTATGGGTCTCTGTGTGTGGTGAGTCTGTGGGTCTCTGTGTGATGAATCTGTGGTTCTCTGTGTGGTGAGTCTGTGGGTCTCTGTGCGGTGAGTCTGTGGGTCTCTGTGCGGTGAGTCTGTGGTTCTCTGTGTGGTGAGTCTGTGGGTCTCTGTGTGGTGAGTCTGTGGGTCTCTGTGTGTGGTGAGTCTGTGTGATGAGTCTGTGGGTCTCTGTGTGATGAGTCTGTGAGTCTCTGTGTGATGAATCTGTGGGTCTCTGTGTGGTGAGTCTGTGGGTCTCTGTGTGTGGTGAGTCTGTGGGTCTCTGTGTAGTGAGTCTGTGTGATGAGTCTGTGGGTCTCTGTGTGGTCAGTCTGTGGGTCTCTGTGCGGTGAGTCTGGGTCTCTGTGTGATGAGTCTGTGGGTCTCTGTGTGGTGAGTCTGTGGGTCTCTGCGCGGTGAGTCTGTGGGTGTCTCTGTGTGTGATGAGTCTGTGGGTGTCTCTGTGTGTGGTGAGTGTGTGGGTCTCTGTGTAGTGAGTCTGTGTGATGAGTCTGTGGGTCTCTGTGCGGTGAGTCTGGGTCTCTGTGTGATGAGTCTGTGGGTCTCTGTGTGGTGAGTCTGTGGGTCTCTGTGCGGTGAGTCTGTGGGTGTCTCTGTGTGTGATGAGTCTGTGGGTGTCTCTGTGTGTGGTGAGTGTGTGGGTCTCTGTGTAGTGAGTCTGTGTGATGAGTCTGTGGGTCTCTGTGCGGTGAGTCTGTGGGTCTCTGTGTGGTGAGTCTGTGGGTCTCTGTGCGGTGAGTCTGGGTCTCTGTGTGATGAGTCTGTGGGTCTCTGTGTGATGAGTCTGTGGGTCTCTGTGTGATGAATCTGTGGGTCTCTGTGGGGTGAGTCTGTGGGTCTCTGTGTGATGAGTCTATGTGTCTCTGTGTGATGAGTATGTGGGTCTATGTGCGGTGAGTCTATGGGTCTCTGTGTGATGAGTCTGTGGGTCTCTGTGTGAGAGTCTGTGGGTCTCTGTGTGATGAATCTGTGGGTCTCTGTGTGATGAGTCTATGGGTCTCTGTGTCATGAGTCTGTGGGTCTCTGTGTGGTGAGTCCGTGGGTCTCTGTGTGATGAATATGTGGGTCTCTGTGTGAGTCTGTGGGTCTCTGTGTGATGAGTCTGTGAGTCTCTCGGCTCACCTGTAGCAGCTCCTTAGCTGAGCCTCTCTTCTCAACGTCCATCTCGAGGCAGCGGTTGAGGAAGTCTCGGAAGACGCCGGAAAGCTTCTCGGGGTTCTGCAGCTCTGGTGTGCCGTTGGTGGCGATCAGATAGAGCGCCTGTAGGGGACGTGGGGGGCGGGGGGGGAATCACGGGGGGAAGGGCACGCGCAGACACTCGCCCGCCCGCTCAATCACACGCAACAACAACAACAACCGCCACTAAGTGGCCGGTGACGTCACCACGACGCTTGTGCCAGGCTATGTGCACCTTGAGGCCACGTGAAGTGTCGAACGCCCGCGGGCAGGAGGTCACGGGGGCAGACCAGCAGGTGCACGGGTCGACTGACTGAGATGACTGAGATGACTGGCTGATGCACCACCTGCTGTGCTTTAGCCACCCGGCGCTCCGCTCGTTGTTGTGAGCGTCGCTCCTCCGCCCCTCGTTGTTGTTGGAGGGCGGACTGCCTCCAACTGCCCAGTAGCAGCGTCCTTCACGAGCCTCCTCCACAGAGGCCGATCTTGACGCCGCTGTACCGGTCATCGGCAGTCCACTCAGCTCCACGTCCTCCTGTACCACATCACTCCACCTCTTCTCCAGCCCGTGCCGCGCCCGTTTAGCCCCCTCGATTCCGGCCGAACAAAAGCTGTTTCGGCATGTGGTGGCTGGCATGCGGGCTACATGACCCAGCCTATCGCAGCCTTGCCTGCGGAGGAGCTCACCGATGGACCTTGCCCAGATCTTTCAAGGATTTGTGAGCTCCTCACACAATCAAGCTGGTTAACCCAGGATGGATTGTAGGCAGGCTAGCCTAAATGTTTTCTAAGCGGCAAAGATGCTCCATTCAGGGGTCACGTTCGCAAGCATAGAGAAGGGAGGGAATGACCGTAGCCGAGAATACCTGAAGCTTAGTGCGGAAGCGACAGACCAGGTAGCTTCCACACAGCGTTACGCAACCGATGAAAAGATATTGCGCTCGGACTGATTCGGAGTGAGACCTCTGCTGTTAAACTGGAGCCAGTCATAAGCACACTGCCCAGGTATGGCAAACTCTCCACTCTCTCCACAACTACCCCATCACCGATTGGGAGTTGTGGGGGTGGAGTGTCCGATGGTAAAAATACCCAGGCAGGTGCTTAGTTTTGGTGGGGCTGATGGTAAGGCCCCATCTCTTAGTGGCACGCTCCAGTCTCAGCAGCAGCATCTCCAACTCCTCCTCTGAATGAGCAGCTATTACCAAAACATCGGCATACATAACGTGGTTGAGCAATAGGGAGCAATCCCTTGACCGCACCCGGGCATCGATCAGCCTCCCATTATATCTGTACCAAATGGAGATTCCCCCGGTACAGCTATTGAAGGCTTCACGAACTACGTGGTCAAAATAGATGTTGAATAATGTGGGAGCCAGAGGACATCCCTGTCACACCCCAAGGTGTACAGGGAATGGCTCTGACTCCCAGGCCACGTAGTTTTACCCGGCCCTGCTCACCATCATGAAGGTCCTTAATGATCGTGAGCAGAGGGTCAGGGACTCCGAAAAGCACGAAGAACAACCCAGAGCCCAGGCCTACTGATGGTATCATAGGCCTTGACCAGGTCAATAAAGCAGAGATGTAGGTCTTGCTGGAATTCCCTACACCTCTGCTGTAGCAGACGGACAGAAAATATGGCATCTGTGCAGGACCGCCCTTTCCTGAAACCTGCATTGGGGCTCCGCAAGCCTCTCCTCAGCGTGCCTGGCAAGGCGATGTTGAATAATCCTTGCCAGGACCTTTCCCGGCACACTGAGGAGTGAGATGCCCCTGTAGTTGTTACAGTCTGTGCGGTCCCCCTTCTTAAAGAGGGGGACCACCAGGGCATCCTTCCAATCCTGCTGGAACCCGCTCAGTGGTCCAGACTGTTGTTATGATGTCATATAGGGCAAGTCTGTGCACAAACGCCACCCTCCCTCAGCATTTCGCTTGGGAGATCATCTCTGCCCGCTGTCCTTTCCTGGTCTCAGACTCCGGATCGCCTTCAGTACTTCCTCAACAGATGGCACCTTCAGCCAGCCACTCACAGGGGGTGACTTCTTTCCAATATTTGAGGCACCGCAGCCTCAGCAGGGTCATCCCCACTTTGTGCCACGATGTTTTTCCTGGCTGAGGGATTTTCCCTCCCCCAGGACCTCACAGAAATGCTCAGCAAATCTGCAAACCTGTTCCTGGAGGTCGGAGATTGGATCACCGTTTTTTCCCTAATGATGGTAATAGGTGTGGCGCTGCAGGTTACTTTTTTGATGGAGTTAAATAGAGATTTGCTGATCGCGGGCCACTGAGGCAGACTCCATGCTCCTCAGCAACCCGCGACCACCACCCATCCTTGCAGCACCTCACGGCTCTCCGAACCTCCGAGCAAAGGCTGCGGTAAGCCTCCTCATTCTCTGACGTGGGATTCTGTAGCGATGACAGTGGGCCTGTCGCTTTTTCTCAACTATCCTGAACACCTCCTCTGTCAGCCAGGGTCTCTGGGGAGGTCTGGACCACGTACCCAAAGCAGCCAATGCAGCTGCATGAGTCACAGTCCTAAACCTCGCCCATTTACCCTCGACATCAGGAGGAGTGGGGGACGATGCCAACCCCAGCCGCAAGGCGATGATGAAATTCTCGCTTGCAACTTTCATCAGATAACTGAGACCAGGCCACTTTAGGTTGGAATGGGGTCCTGGGTGTACACCCACCACCGGAGCGGAAGAATGGCAGGCGCATCTTACAGATGACAAGTCGATGGTCAGTGGGCAAGATCAGCTCCACGGTAGGTCCTGGTGTCAAGGACATGGGCTCCGCATCCGCTGTTCCATCACGATGCAGTCCAGCAAATGTTCTTGCTTGGACCCGGCATGCATCCATGATGTTGTGTGGATGCGCCGATGCTGGAACAGCGTGTTGGTAATTACAAGCCCATGGGCTGCACTGCACAAAAATCTAGCAGCCTCCTACCGTTGTTATTGAGCTGATCTGGCCCATGTCCTCCAATCACTCCAGACCAGGTGCCAGCATCATGACCAACTCGGGCATTGAAGTCACCCAACAAGATGACTCTATCCCGAGGGGCCACTTTAGCCAGCACCTGTGACAGGAGGTCATAGAAGGCATCTGACTCATCGGCTTTGCCTGCATCCCTCCACAGATGTTCGTCTTCTGAGTGGGGGCATAAGTAACCACGACCACCACTCCTCGCCTCCGGTTGATGGAAGGCGAGCCACAAGCTAGACCTGGGGCTTACAGCTTCCCACACCTCACCGCCACGCTCCTCACGCCCCCTTCATTCTTTTGTTCATGAAGAGGCCACACCCTGTTGTTTGCAGTCTGCTGCCCCGAGTAGAGGACTGATCCACCCCTCATGGTGGCAGGAGCCAGAGCCGGTCCACCGGACCTCCTGAATGCCACACGAGATCCAGGCGGTACCGGTCCAGCTCCCTACAGAGCAGTGGCAGCCTCTCCTCCGCAGTGAGCGTTCGAACATTCCACATGGCCACACGAAGTGGCTTTTCCTTGTTTCTGGAGGAGCCCCGAGGGTAGAGATTCAATCTCCTGGCTCCACCAATTGGGGTTTGGCCAGGAGACGTCATAGACGCCTGTCCCCCCGGGGCCTCCGGCACAAGCTTATTAATTAGATATTTTAGACGTGGTTTAGTGGTAATTTATTGAAGGTGGAGGGGTTACCAGCCCCTCGCACCCGCCCAGAGGCCCTGTTTAGCCCCTGTGGTGGTCACGACAGAGTTGCCCGTCCGGCACCACTCTCACACTCACTCACTCACCTGCCCACTCACACACACACTCACACTCAGTTCACCGGCCCCACCCACTCACCCAGCCACTCAATCACACAAACACATGTCACCCACTTGCCCGCCCCACTCACCTACCCACTCTTGTAGACTCGCCACAGAGATCATCTCAATTCACCCACTCACTCACCCACTCACCCACCCACTCACTCACTCACTCACCCACCCATCCACTCACTCACCCACTCACTCACTCACCCACCCAACCACTCACCCACCCAACCACTCACACACTCACCCACCCACTCAACACCCACCCACACAACCACTCAACCAACCACTCACCCACCCAACCAACCACTCACCCACCTACTCACTTCACCCACCAACCCACTCCCTCACCCACCCATCCACCCACTCACTCACTCACTCACCCACTCACTCACTCACCCCACTCACCCACCCACTCACTTACTCACTTCACCCACTCACCCACCCATCCACTCACCCACTCACTCACTCACCCACCCAACCACTCACCCACCCCAACCACTCACACACTCACCCACTCACCCACTCAACCACCCACCCACCCACCCAACCACTCAACCAACCACTCACCCACCCAACCAACCACTCACCCACCTACTCACTCACCCACCAACCCACTCCCTCACCCACCCATCCACCCACTCACTCACTCACCCACCCAACCACTCACTCACTCACCCACCCACCCACTCACTCACCCATCCACCTACTCACTCACCCACCAACCCACCCACTCACTCAATCACTCACTCACTCACTAACTCACCCACCCAACCACTCACCCACCCAACCACTCACACACTCACCCCCCCACCCACTCAACCACCCACCCACCCAACCAACCACTCACCCACCCAACCAACCACTCACCCACCTACTCACCCACCAACCCACTCGTTCACCCACCCATCCACCCACTCACTCACTCACTCCACCCAACCACTCACTCACTCACCCACCCACCCACTCACTCACCCATCCACCTACTCACTCACCCACCAACCCACCCACTCACTCAATCACTCACCCACTCACTCACTCACTCACCCACCCACCCACCCACCAACCCACCCACCCACTCACCCACCCACCCACCCCACCCCACTGACCCTGAGCGGGTTCTCGTTGAGGTATGGAGGCTCTCCCTCCACCATCTCGATGGCCCATGATGCCCAGGCTCCAGACGTCCACCTTGGCCCGTAGGCCTTGCGTGTCACCACCTCGGGCGCCATCCAGTAGGGGGTGCCAACCATGGTGCTGCGCTTGCTCTGCTCCGGCGTGATCTGGGCGCAGAAGCCAAAGTCCGCTGCTTCGCACGGACACACACACACAGACACACACACAGACACACACACAGACACACACACACAGACACACACACAGACACACACACAGACACACACACACACAGACACACACACACAGACACACACACACAGACACACACACACACAGACACAGACACACACACAGACACACAGACACACACACAGACACACAGACACACACACACACAGACACACACACACACACACGCAGACACACACACACACACACAGACACACATAGACACACACACAGACACACACACGCACAGACACACACGCATAGACACACGCACACGCACAGACACACACACGCACAGACACACACACGCACAGACACACACAGAAACACACACGCACGGGCACGTACAGACATTACACACACACGGGCACGCACGGGCACACACTCGCACGGATACGCACACGCACGGACACACACACGCACAGACACACACACGCACGGACACACACGCACACACGGGCACACACGCACGCACAGACACACACACGCACGCACAGACACACACGCACGGACACACACGCACGCACGGGCATGCACGCAAGGGCACGCACGGGCACACACTCGCACGGATATACACACGCCACGGACACACGCACAGACACACACACGCACAGACACACACACACACACAGACAGACACACACACACAGACACACACCCACGCACAGACACACACACACGCACAGACACACACACAGACACACACACGCACAGACACACACACACAGACACACACACACGCACAGACACACACACAGACACACACACGCACAGACACACACACACACACAGACACACACACACGCACAGACACACACACGCACAGACACACACACACACACAGACACACACACACGCACAGACACACACGCACAGACACACGCCACACACGTTGTGGTTATCATTGTCGTTGTGATTGTCGTTATCGTCGTGGTTACCGCTGCTACGGTAACAGCACGGCCCAGCACGGTTCAGATGCGGCAGTGGGAAAAATAACCAAGTGGGTTGTGGGACGGGGAGGGGGTGATGGTGGGGGGGTGATGGTGGGGGGGTGATGGTGGGGGGTGAGGTTGGGGTGATGATTGGGTGGGAGGGTGATGGTGGGGTGGGGAGTGATGATGGTGGGGGGTGATGGTGGGGGGGTGATGGTGGGGGGGGTTGATGGTGGGGGGGTGATGGTGGGGTGATGGTGGGGTGATGGTGGGGGGTGATGGTGGGTGGGGTGATGGTGGGGGGTGATGGTGGGGGGGTGATGATGGGGTGGGGTGATGGTGTGGGGGTGATGGTGGGGGGGTGATGATGGGGTGGGGTGATGGTGGGGGGGTGATGGTGGTGTGATGATTGGGTGGGGGGGTGATGGTGGGGTGGGGGAGTGATGATGGTTGGGGGGGTGATGGTGGGGGGGTGATGGTGGGGGGGTGATGGTGGGGGGGTGATGGTGGGGTGATGGTGGGGTGATGGTGGGGGGTGATGGTGGGTGGGGTGATGGTGGGGGGTGATGGTGGGGGGGTGATGGTGGGGGGGTGATGGTGGGGGGGTGATGGTGGGGGGGTGATGGTGGGGGGTGATGGTGGGGGGGTGATGGTTGGGGGGTGGGGGGTGATGGTGGGGGGGGTGATGATGGGGTGGGGTGATGGTGGGGGGGTGATGGTGGGGGTGATGGTGGGGGGGTGATGGTGGGGGGGTGATGATGGGGTGGGGTGATGGTGGGGGGGGTGATGGTGGGGGGTGATGGTGGGGGAGGTGATGGTGGGGGGGTGATGGTGGGATGATGGTGGGGGGGGTGATGGTGGGGGGGTGATGGTGGGGTGATGGTGGGGGGTGGTGGTGGGGGGTGTGATGTGGGTGGGTGATGGTGGGGGGTGATGGGGGGGGGTGATGGTGGGGGAGGTGATGGTGGGGGGTGATGGTGGGCTGATGGTGGGGGGGGTGATGGTGGGGGGGTGATGGTGGGGGGTGATGGTGGGTGGGGTGTGATGGTGGGGGGTGATGGTGGGGGGGGTGATGGTGGGGGGTGTATGATGGGGTGGGGTGATGGTGGGGGGTGATGGTGGGGGTGATGGTGGGGGGTGATGGTGGGGTGGGGGGTGATGGTGGGTGGGGTGATGGTGGGGGGTGACAGTGGGGGGTGATGGTGGAGGGGTGATGGTGGGGGGGTGATGATGGGGTGGGGTGATGGTGGGGGGTGATGGTGAGGGGGTGATGGTGGGTGATGATTGGGTGGGGGGGTGATGGTGGGGTGGAGGGTGATGGTGGGGGGGTGATGGTGGGGGTGAGGGGGGGGGGTGTGTGGGGGGTGATGGTGGGGTGGAGGGTGATGGTGGGTGGGGTGATGGTGGGGGGTGATGGTGGGGGGGTGATGGTGGGGTGATGGTGGGGGTGATGGTGGGGGGGTGATGGTGGGGGGTGATGGGGTGGGGGGGTGATGGTGGGTGGGGTGATGGTGGGGGGGTGATGGTGGGGTGATGGTGGGGGGTGATGGTGGGGGGGTGATGGTGGGGTGATGGTGGGGGGGTGATGGTGGGGGGGTGATGGTGGGGGTGATGGTGGGGGGGTGATGGTGAGGTGGGGGGTTGATGGTGGGGGGGGTGATGGTGGCTGGGGTGATGGTGGGGGGTGATGGTGGGGGGGTGATGGTGGGGGGGGTGATGGTGGGGTGATGGTGGGGGGGGTGATGGTGGGGGTGATGGTGGGGTGATGGTGGGGGGTGATGGTGGGGTGATTGGTGGGGGGGTGATGGGGGGGTGATGGTGAGGTGGGGTGTGTATGGTGGGGGGGTTGAGGTGGGGGGGTGATGGTGGGGTGATGGTGGGGGGTGATGGTGGGTGGGGTGATGGTGGTGGGGTGATGGTGGGGTGATGGTGGGGGGGTGATGGTGGGGTTGATGGTGGGGGGGTGATGGTGGGGGTGGTGATGGTGGGTGGGGTGGATGGTGGGGGGGTTGATGGGGGGGGGTGATGGGGGGGGGGGTGATGGTGGGGGGGTGATGTTGGGGGGGTGATGGTGGGGGGGTGATGGTGGGTGGGGTGATGGTGGGGGGGTGATGGTGGGGGGGTGATGGTGGGGGGTGATGGTGGGTGGGGTGATGGTGGGGGGGGTGATGGTGGGGTGATGGTGGGGGGTGATGGTGGGGTGATGGTGGGGGGGTGATGGTGGGGGGGTGATGGTGGGACCTTACTGAGCTTGACGGAGCCATCCAGGCCCAGGAGGATGTTGTCACTTTTGATGTCGCGATGGATCACCTGGTTGGAGTGCAGGAACTCCAGCGCCTGTAGGCACTGTGGAGTGACGCACGCACACACACACACATGCACACACGCACACACACACACACCGCACACACACACATGCACACACGCACACACACACGCACACACATGCACACACGCACACACACACACACGCACACACACGCACACACACACGCACACACGCGCGCACACACACACACACACACGCACACACACACACGCACACACGCACCACACACGCACACACATGTACACACACACGCGCACACACGTACAAAGATACAAAGATCCCCCATATAGCCTGTAACAGACTGTAGGGGCAAGTGCTGTTAGCGAGCACCTATGAAGGCCAGAACGGTACACGAGGGGGTGGGTGGCCAGTACACGCCCGACCGCCTTTGTCCTCCCCAGTGGCGATGTTTACACACCGCACCAGGTACTCATTTGAGGCTGAGTCGACCTAGGGGAGGCCCGGGACCGGTTCAGATAATCGTCACTGGTGTTGGCCGTGAGCTGGAATCGAACCCGGGTCGCCAGGTTTCATAGCGCAGCGTAGCGCTAACCACTACACTACCGCTACGCTCCCCTGCGGACGGAGGGTGACAGATGCGCGGCGTGGGCGGGCCACGTGAGGCTACGCGTGGGAGCTCTGTCTATGTGTCTCTGTGTCTCTGTCTCCTTGTCCTCTGTGTCTCTGTGTCTCTGTCTCCGTGTCTCTGTCTCCCTGTCTCTGTGTCTCTGTGTCTCTGTCTCCCTGTCCTGTGTCTCTGTGTCTCTCTCTGTCTCCCTGTCTCTGTCTCCTTGTCTCTGTGTCTCTGTCTCTGTGTCCCTGTCTCCCTGTCTCCCTGTCCTCTGTGTCTCTGTGTCTCGGTCTCCCTGTCTCTGTGTCTCTGTGTCTCTCTCTGTCTCCTGTCTCTGTCTCCTTGTCTCTGTCTCTGTGTCCCTGTCTCCCTGTCTCTGTGTCTCTGTGTCTCTGTCTCCGTGTGTCCGTGTCTCCGTGTCGCTGTCTCTGTGTCTCTGTCTCAGTGTCTCTGTCTCCGTGTCCCTGTCTCTGTGCCCCTCTGTCCCTATCTCCAGATCTCTGTGTCTCTGTTTCCGTGTCCCTGTCTCCCTGTCTCTGTGTCTCTGTCTCTGTGTCCCTGTCTCCCTGTCTCTGTGTCTCTGTGTCTCTGTCTCCCTGTCTCTGTGTCTCTGTGTCTCTCTCTGTCTCCCTGTCTCTGTCTCCTTGTCTCTGTCTCTGTGTCTCTGTCTCCCTGTCTCTGTTACTCTGTCTCCCTGTCTCCCTGTCTCTGTGTCTCTGTGTCTCTGTCTCTGTGTCCCTGTCTCCCTGTCTCTGTGTCTCTGTCTCCCTGTCTCCCCATGTCTCTGTGTCTCTGTGTCTCTGTCTCCCTGTCTCTGTGTCTCTGTCTCCCTGTCTCTGTCTCCTTGTCTCTGTGTCTCTGTGTCTCTGTCTCCCTGTCTCCCTGTCTCTGTGTCTCTGTGTCTCTGTCTCCCTGTCTCTGTGTCTCTGTCTCCCTGTCTCTGTCTCCTTGTCTCTGTCTCCCTGTCTCTGTCTCCTTGTCTCTGTGTCTCTGTGTCTCTGTCTCTGTGTCTCTGTCTCCCTGTCTCCCTGTCTCTGTGTCTCTGTGTCTCTGTCTCCCTGTCTCTGTGTCTCTGTCTCCTGTCTCTGTCTCTTGTCTCTCTGTCTCTGTGTCTCTGTCTCCCTGTCTCCCTGTCTCCCTGTCTCTGTGTCTCTGTGTCTCTGTGTCTCTGTCTCCCTGTCTCTGTGTCTCTGTCTCCCTGTCTCTGTCTCCCTGTCTCTGTCTCTGTCTCTCTGTCTCCTGTCTCCGTGTCTCCGTGTCTCTGTCTCCCTGTCTCCGTGTCTCTGTGTCTGTGTCTCTGTGTCTCTGTGTCTCTGTCCCCCGTCTCACTGTCTCTGTGTCTCTGTGTCTCTGTCTCCCTGTCTCTGTCTCTGTGTCTCTGTCTCTGTGTCTCTGTCTCCCTGTCTCTCTGTCTTTTGTCTCTGTCTCCCTGTCTCCCTGTCTCTGTGTCTCTGTCTCCCTTCTCGTGTCTCCGTGTCTCCGTGTCTCCGTGTCTCTGTCTCCCTGTCTCTGTGTCTCTGTGTCTCTGTCTCCCTGTCTCCGTGTCTCCGTGTCTCCGTGTCTCCGTGTCTCTGTCTCCCTGTCTCTGTCTCTGTGTCTCTGTCTCTGTGTCTCTGTCTCTGTCTCCCTGTCTCTGTGTCTCTGTCTCCCTGTCTCCTTGTCTCCCTGTCTCTGTGTCTCTGTCTCCGTGTCTCCCTATCTCTGTCTCCCTGTCTCCCTGTCTCTGTCTCCCTGTCTCCCTGTCTCTGTGTCTCCGTGTCTCTGTCTCCCTGTCTCCCTGTCTCCCTGTCTCTGTCTCTGTGTCTCTGTCTCCCTGTCTCTGTCTCCCTGTCTCTCTGTCTCCTGTGTCTCCGTGTCTCCGTGTCCTCTGTCTCCCTGTCCCTGTCTCTGTCTCCCTGTGTCTGTCTCCCTGTCTCCCTGTCTCTGTGTCCTCCGTGTCTCTGTCTCCCTGTCTCCCTGTCTCCCTGTCTCTGTCTCTGTGTCTCTGTCTCCCTGTCTCCCTGTCTCTCTGTCTCCGTGTCTCCGTGTCTCCGTGTCTCTGTCTCCCTGTCTCTGTCTCCCTGTGTCTCTGTCTCCCTGTCTCCCTGTCTCTGTGTCTCCGTGTCTCTGTCTCCCTGTCTCCCTGTCTCCCTGTCTCTGTGTCTCTGTCTCCCTGTCTCTGTCTCCCTGTCTCTCTGTCTCCGTGTCTCCGTGTCTCCGTGTCTCTGTCTCCCTGTCCCTGTCTCTGTCTCCCTGTGTCTCTGTCTCCCTGTCTCCCTGTCTCTGTGTCTCCCTGTCTCTGTCTCCCTGTCTCTGTCTCCCTGTGTCTCTGTCTCCCTGTCTCTGTGTCTCCCTGTCTCTGTCTCCCTGTCCTCTGTCTCCCTGTGTCTCTGTCTCCCTGTCTCCCTGTCTCTGTAAACCCTGTTGGTACCTCGCGACAGACAGCGGCGATCTGACCCTCGTCCATGCACGTTTCCGTGACGACGTCGGTCAGCGAGCGCCGGGGAGGTACTCCATGACGACCACAACTCCTCGCCAACCAGGTAGCTAGGGGAGGACGTCACAACGGGGACCCGGCCGGTATCCGTGGCAACCGGTTACGCGGTAGCTATGACGACCGGGCAACTAGGCTACACGGCAACCGGGCAACTAAGGCATTCAGATAATAGGAGGCGAAGCGTCTGTGCGAGTTGGTCGCCGTAGAAACGAGGTGATAGCAGTCGTAACAGCTGGGTCAGTGGCATCCATGGCAACCGGGTAACTAGGAGGCATGGCAACCGGGTAACTAGGAGGCATGGCAACCAGGTAACTAGGAGGCATGGCACCTGGGTGAGTGGTATTCATGGCAACCAGGTAACTAGGAGGCATGGCAACCAGGTAACTAGGAGGCATAGGCAACCAGGTAACTAGGAGGCATGGCAACCAGGTAAACTAGGAGGCATGGCAACCAGGTAACTAGGAGGCATGGCAACCAGGTAACTAGGAGGCATGGCAACCAGGTAACTAGGAGGCCAAGGCAACCAGGGTAACTAGGAGGCATGGCAACCAGGTAACTAGGAGGCATGGCAACCAGGTAACTAGGAGGCAAGGCAACCAGGTAACTAGGAGGCATGGCACCCAGTGTAACTAGGAGGCATGGCAACCAGGTAACTAGGAGGCATGGCAGCCAGGTAACTAGGAGGCATGGCAACCAGGTAACTAGGAGGCATGGCAACCGGGTAACTAGGAGGCAAGGCAACCAGGTAACTAGGAGGCATGGCAACCAGGTAACTAGGAGGCAAGGCAACAGGTAACTAGGAGGCATGGCAACCAGGTAACTAGGAGGCATGGCAACCAGGCAACGAGGAGGCAGGGCAACCAGGTAACATAGGAGGCCTGGCAACCAAGTAACTAGGAGGCAGGCAACAGGTAACTAGGAGGCATTGGCAACCAGGTAACTAGGAGGCATGAACCAGGTAACTAGGAGGCATGGCAACCGGGTAACTAGGAGGCATGGCAACCGGGTAACTAGGAGGCATAGGCAACCAGGTAACTAGGAGGCATGGCAACCAGGTAACTAGGAGGCATGGCAACAGGTAACTAGGAGGCATGGCAACCCAGGTAACTAGGAGGCCTGGCAACCAGGTAACTAGGAGGCATGGCAACGGGTAACTAGGAGGCATGGCAACAGGTAACTAGGAGGCATGGCAACACGGTAACTAGGAGGCAATGGCAACCAGGTAACTAGGAGGCATGGCAACCAGGTAACTAGGAGGCATGGCAACCAGGTAACTAGGAGGCATGGCAGCCAGTAACTAGGAGGCATGTCAACCAGGTAACTAGGAGGCATGGCAACCGGGTAACTAGGAGGCAAGGCAACCAGGTAACTAGGAGGCATGGCAACCAGGGTAACTAGGAGGCATGGCAACCAGGTAACTAGGAGTGCATGGCAACCAGGTAACTAGAGGCATGGCAACCAGGCAACGAGGAGGCAGGGCAACCAGGTAACTAGGAGGCATGGCAACAAGGTAACTAGGAGGCAAGGCAACCAGGTAACTAGGAGGCATGGCAACCAGGCAACGAGGAGGCAGGGCAACCATGTAACTAGGAGGCATGGCAACCGGGTAACTAGGAGGCATGGCAACCGGGTAACTAGGAGGCATGGCAACCAGGTAACTAGGAGCATGGCAACCAGGTAACTAGGAGGCATGGCAACCAGGTAACTAGGAGGCATGGCAACCAGGTAACTAGGAGGCATGGCAACCAGGTAACTAGGAGGCATGGCAACCGGGTAACTAGGAGGCATGGCAACCAGGTAACTAGGAGGCATGGCAACCAGGTAACTAGGAGGCATGGGCAACCAGGTAACTAGGAGGCATGCAACCAGGTAACTAGGAGGCATGGCAACCAGGTAACTAGGAGGCATGGCAACCAGGTAACTAGGAGGCATGGCAACCAGGTAACTAGGAGGCATGGCAACCAGGTAACTAGGAGGCATGGCAACCGGGTAACTAGGAGCATGGCATACCAGGTAACTAGGAGGCATGGCAACCAGGGTAACTAGGAGGCATGGCAACCTGGGTAACTAGGAGGCATGGCAACCAGGTAACTAGGAGGCATGGCAACCAGGTAACTAGGAGCAAGGCAACCAGGTAACTAGGAGGCATGGCAACCAGGTAACTAGGAGGCATGGCAACCAGGCAACGAGGAGGCAGGACAACCAGGTAACTAGGAGACATGGCAACCAGGTAACTAGGAGGCATGGCAACCAGGTAACTAGGAGGCATGGCAACCAGGTAACTAGGAGGCATGGCAACCAGGTAACTAGGAGGCATGGCAACCGGGTAACTAGGAGGCATGGCAACCGGGTAACTAGGAGGCATGGCAACCAGGTAACTAGGAGGCATGGCAACCAGGTAACTAGGAGGCATGGCAACCAGGTAACTAGGAGGCATGGCAACCAGGTAACTAGGAGGCATCGCAACCAGGTAACTAGGAGGCATGGCAACCAGGTAACTAGGAGGCATGGCAACCGGGTAACTAGGAGGCATGGCAACCAGGTAACTAGAAGCCAAGGCAACCAGATAACTAGGAGGCATGGCAACCAGGTAACTAGAAGCCAAGGCAACCAGGTAACTAGGAGGCATGGCAACCAGGTAACTAGGAGGCATGGCAACCGGGTATCTAGGAGGCAAGGCAACCAGGTAACTAGGAGGCATGGCAACCAGGTAACTAGGAGGCATGGCAACCAGGTAACTAGGAGGCATGGCAACCAGGTAACTAGGAGGCATGGCAACCAGGTAACTAGGAGTCATGGCAACCAAGTAACTAGGAGGCAAGGCAACCAGGTAACTAGGGGGCATGGCAACCAGGTAACTAGGAGGCATGGCAACCAGGTAACTAGGAGGCATGGCAACCAGGTAACTAGGAGGCAAGGCAACCAGGTAACTAGGAGGCATGGCAACCAGGTAAACTAGGAGGCATGGCAACCAGGTAACTAGGAGGCATGGCAACCAGGTACTAGGAGGCATGGCAACCAGGTACTAGGAGGCATGGCAACCAGGTAACTAGGAGGCATGGCAACCAGGTAACTAGGAGGCATGGCAACCTGGTATCTAGGAGGCATGGCAACCAGGTAACTAGGAGGCATGGCAACCAGATAACTAGGAGGCATGGCAACCAGGTAACTAGGAGGCATGGCAACCAGGTAACTAGGAGGCCATGGCAACCAGGTAACTAGGAGGCATGGCAACCAGGTAACTAGGAGGCATGGCAACCAGGTAACTAGGTAGGCATGGCAACCAGGTAACTAGGAGGCAAGGCAACAGGTAACTAGGAGGCAAGGCAACCAGGTAACTAGGAGGCATGGCAACCAGGTAACTAGGAGGCAAGGCACCAGGTTAACTAGGAGGCATGGCAACCAGGTAACTAGGAGGCATGGCAAACCAGGTTACTAGGAGGAATGGCAACCGGGGTAACTAGGAGGCATAGCAACCTGGTAACTAGGAGGCATGGCAACCAGTTAACTAGGAGGCATGGCAACCAGGTATCTAGGAGGCATGGCAACCAGGTAACTAGGGAGGCCATGGCAATCCGGGTAACTAGGAGGCATGGCAACCAGGTAACTAGGAGGCATGGCAACCGGGTAACTAGGAGGCATGGCAACCAGGTAACTAGAGGCATGGCAACCAGGTAACTAGGAGGCATGGCAACCAGGTAACTAGGAGGCATGGCAAACCAGGTAACTAGGAGGCATGGCAACCAGGTAACTAGGAGGCATGGCAACCAGGTAACTAGGAGGCATGGCAACCAGGTAACTAGGAGGCATGGCAACCAGGTAACTAGGAGGCATGGCAACCAGGTAACTAGGAGTGCAAGGCAACCAGGTAACTAGAGGCATGGCAACCAGGTAACTAGGAGGCATGGCAAGCCAGGTAACTAGGAGGCAACGGCAACCAGGTAACTAGGAGGCATGGCAACCAGGTCATGATGACGCCCACCCGCCCCACCGCACCTGTCCAGGTAGTTGACGATGTTGGGGTTTCTTGTTCTCGTCTCATCACCAGGATCTCGTGATGATCAGCTCCTTCTTGGGCTGCTGCCTGTAGGTTCATCTGCTTGATAGCCACCTGGGGGGTCATGGAGGTCACGTGGGGTCAGGGGTCAAGCGTGCAACTGCCGCCCCCCTATCCCCCTTGCGCAACCCCCCGCCCGCCCGCCCCCCTTGCCCCCCACCTCCCCCCGTGCCCCACCTCCCCCCCTCCCCCCCGTGCCCCCCCCGTGCCCCCCACCTCCTGCCCCGTGCCCCCTCCTCCCCCCCGTTGACCCCCCCATGACCCCCACCTCCTCCCGTGCCCCACCTCCCCCCCGTTGCCCCCTACCCCCCCCCGTGCCCCCCTCCCCCCCCCGTGCCCCCCCCGTGCCCCCACCTCCTGCCCCGTGGCGACGTCGATGGCAGTTGTAGACGGTGCCAGACGCCCTGCAGGGAACCGGAGCACACTCAACGTCAACTACTACACTAAACTAGTACTAGTTAGTACTAGTTAGTAGTACTAACTAGTACTAACTAACTAGTAACTACTTCTAGCAGTAGTTACTAGTAGCACACTCAACGTCAACAACTACAACACTAGTTAGTAGTAGGTTTAGTACTAGTTAGTACTGCTAACTAGTACTAGTACTAGTTAGTACTAGTTAGTACTACTAACTAGTACTAGTACTAGTTAGTACTACTAACTAGTACTAGTTACTAACTAGTACTAGTACTAGTTAGTACTAGTAGTACTAACTAGTACTAGTAGTAGTTAGTACTAGTTAGTAGTACTAACTAGTACTAGTACTAGTTAGTACTAGTTAGTAGTACTAACTAGTACTAGTAGTAGTTAGTACTAGTAGCACACTCAACGTCAACTACTACACTACTAGTACTAGTTAGTGTAGTAGTTAGTAGTAGTTAGTAGTAGCACACTCAACGTCAACTACTACACTAACTAGTTAGTTAGTAGTAGTTTAGTACTAGTTAGTACTACTAACTAGTACTACTAAACTACTAGTTAGTACTAGTTAGTAGTACTAACTAGTACTAACTAGTAGTTAGTGGTTACTAGTAGCACACTCAACGTCCAACAACTACACTAGTTAGTAGTAGTTAGTACTAACTACTACTAACTACTACTAGTAGTAGTTAGTAGTAGCACACTCAACGTCAACAACTACACTAGTTAGTAGTAGTTAGTACTAACTACTACTAACTACTACTAGTAGTAGTTACTAGTAGCACACTCAACGTCAACAACTACACTAGTTAGTAGTAGTTAGTACTAACTACTACTAACTACTACTAGTAGTAGTTAGTAGTAGCACACTCAACGGCAAACAACTAACACTAGTTAGTAGTAGTTAGTACTAACTACTACTAACTACTACTAGTAGTAGTTTACTAGTAGCCACTCAACGTCAACAACTACACTAGTTAGTTAGTAGTAGTTAGTTAGTACTAGTTAGTAGTACTAACTAGTACTAACTACTACTAGTAGTTAGTAGTTAGTAGTAGCACACTCAACGTCAACAACACCACTAGTTAGTAGTAGTTAATATAGTTAGTAGTACTAACTAGTACTACTACTAGTAGTTAGTACTAGTTAGTAGTAGCACACTCAACGTCAACAACTACACCACTAATTAGTACTAGTTAGTACTAGTTAGTAGTACTAACTGGTACTAACTACTACTAGTAGTAGTTACTAGTAGCACACTCAACGTCAACTACAATAATCACTAGTTAGTACTAGTTAGTAGTACTAACTAGTACTAACTAGTAGTAGTAACTAGTGGTAGTTAGTAGTAGCACACTCAACGTCAACAACAACAACACCACTAGTAGTTAGTTAGTAGTTAGTAGTACTAACTAACTACTAACTAACTACTAACTAACTACTACTAACTAGTACTGACTAACTACTACTAGTAGTAGTTAGTAGTAGCACACTCAACGTCAACAACAACACCACCACTAGTAACTAGTAGTAGTTAGTTAGTAGTACTAACTATTAACTACTACTAACTACTACTAGTAGTAGTTAGTAGTACTAACTAACTACTAACTACTACTACTAGTAGTAGTTAGTAGTAGCACACTCAACGTCAACACCACCACTAGTTAGTAGTTAGTAGTACTAACTACTACTACTAACTAACTACTAACTTCTAGTAACTACTACTAGTAGTTAGTTAGTAGTAGTAGTTAGTAGTAGCACACTCAACGTCAACAACAACACTACCACTAGTTAGTAGTTAGTTAGTAGTTAGTACTAGTTAGTAGTACTAACTAGTACTAACTACTACTAGTAGTAGTTACTAGTAGCACACTCAACGTCAACACCACCACCACCACTAGTAACTAGTAGTTAGTTAGTAGTACTAACTAACTGGTAGTACTAACTAACTACTACTAACTACTACTACTAGTAGTAGTTAGTAGTAGCACACTCAACGTCAACAACAACACCACTAGTTAGTAGTTAGCTAGTAGTAGTTAGTAGTACTAACTAACTATTAACTTACTACTACTAGTAGTAGTTAGTTACTAGTAGCACACTCAACGTCAACAACACCACCACCACTAGTTAGTAGTAGTTAGTAGTACTAACTAACTACTAGTAGTAGTTAGTAGTAGTAGTTACTAGTAGCACACTCAACGTCAACAACAACACCACTAGTAACTAACTACTAACTAACTAGTAGTACTAACTACTACTACTAGTAGTTACTAGTAGCACACTCAACGTCAACAACACCACCACCACTAGTAGTTAGTAGTTAGTAGCACTAACTACTACTAACTACTACTAACTACTACTAGTAGTTACTAGTAGCACACTCAACGTCAACAACACCACCACTAGTAGTTAGTAGTACTAACTAACTAGTAGTACTAACTACTAACTAACTACTAGTAACTACTACTAACTACTACTAGTAGTAGTTACTAGTAGCACACTCAACATCAACAACACCACCACTAGTAGTTAGTAGTACTAACTAACTAGTAGTACTAACTACTAACTACTAGTAACTACTACTAACTACTACAAGTAGTAGTTACTAGTAGCACACTCAACGTCAACAATACCACCACTAGTAGTTAGTAGTTAGTAGTACTAACTAACTAGTAGTACTAACTACTAACTACTACTAGTAGTAGTTACTAGTAGCACATTCAATGTCAACAACACCACCACTAGTAGTTAGTAGTACTAACTAACTACTAACTAACTACTACTAACTACTACTACTAGTAGTTACTAGTAGTAGTAGTTAGTAGTAGCACACTCAACGTCAACAGCACCACTACTAGTAGTTAGTAGTACTAAATAACTACTAACTAACTACTACTAACTACTACTACTAGTAGTAGTAGTTAGTAGTAGTAGCAGTTACTAGTAGCAGAGACAACGTCAACACCACCACTACCACTAGTAATAGTAACTACTAGTAGTAATACTACTACTAACTACTAGTAGTAGTTACTAGTAGCAGAGACAACGTCACCACCACAACCACCACTAGTAGTAGTACTACTACTACTAACTACTACTAGTAGTATTAGTTACTAGTAGCAGTAGTTAGTAGTAGCAGAGACAACGTCACCACCACCACCACCACTAATACTACTACTAACTACTATTACTACTACTAACTACTACTACTAACTACTACTACTAGTAGTTAGTAGTAGCAGAGACAACGTCAACACCACCAGTACTACTAGTACTACTACTAACTACTAGTAGTAGTTAGTAGTACTAGTTAGTAGTAGTTACTAGTAGTAGTTACTAGTGGCAGAGACAACGTCACCACCACCACCACCACCGCTAGTACTAACTACTAGTGGTAGTTAGTAGTAGTAGTAGTACTATTACTAACTACTACTAGTAGTAGTTAGTAGTAGCAGAGAGAACATCACCACCACTAGTATTACTAGTAGTAGTTAATAGTACTACTAACTACTACTAACTACTGCTACTAGTAGTAGTAGTAGTAGTACTACTAGTAACTACTAGTTACTAGTAGCAGAGACAACGTCACCACCACCACTGGTAGTAGTACTAACTACTACTAAACTACTACTAGTAGTAGTTACTAGTAGCAGACACACGGCGCACACTCAACGTCACCACCACCACTAACTAGCTACTAGCTACTACTAGTACTAGCTACTAGTACTAGCTACTACGATTTTCATCACCACATCACCACGATGATCACCATCACCACGATGATTAGCTACTACTAGTAGTAGCTAGTAGCTACTAGTAATACTACTAGCTACTAGTGCAACTAGTACTACTACTACTAGCTACTACTAGTACTACTAGCTACTAGTAATACTACTAGCTACTACTAGTACTACTACCAGTAGTAAGTAGTACTAGTTACTACTAGCTACGAGTACTACTACTACTAGTAAGTAGTACTCGTTACTAATAACTAGTAGTAGTACTCGTTACTACTTACTAGTAGTAGTACTCGTTACTACTTACTACTAGTAACTAGTAGTAGTAGCAGTACTAGTAGTATTACGAGTCATACTAGTCATATTAGTTACTACTAGTAGAAGTATTATCAGTAGCATGAGTAGTAGTAGCGGCAGCAGTAGTAGTAGTAGCAGTACTAGTAGTATTACTAGTAGCGGTAGTATTAGTGGTACTTGTGGTGCTAGTAGTTGGAGCATGATCACGATCATCATCATCGTGGTGATGGTGATCATCATGGTGGTGATCATCGTGGTGATGATGATTGTGGTGATGTGGTGATGATGACCGTGGTGATGATCATCGTAGTGATGTGGTGATGATGATCGTGGAGATGTGGTGATGATCATCGTGGTGATGTGGTGGTGATGATCGTGGAGATGTGGTGATGATCGTGAGCGGCAGTGGTGGTGCCGGAGCTCACCCCTGGCCGATCTTCTCGAAGCGTGTGTACTTCTTCTTGGGGTCGCCGATCGTCACGATGGTTCCTGCACGCACACACGGACACACACACAGACACACACACACGGACACACACACAGACACACACACACAGACACACACACAGACACACACACAGACACACACATAGACACACATAGACACACACACACAGACACATAGACACACACACAGATACACATAGACACACACACAGACACACAGACACACACAGACACACACATAGACACACATAGACACACACACACATGGACACACATGGACACACACACACGAACACGCGGACACACAGACACACACGGACACACACGGACACACACGGACACAGACACACGGGGACACACAGGGATACACGGACACACACAGACATGGACACACACACAGACACACGGACACAAAGTCAATGACAAAGATCCCCGTGTAGCCTGTAACAGACTGTAGGGGCAAGTGTTGTTAGCGAGCACCTATGAAGGCCGGCACTGTGGTACAACGAGGGGGTGGGTGGCCAGCACCACGCCCGGCCGCCTTTGTCTCCCCAGTGGCGATGTTTACTACACACCGCACCAGGTACTCATTTGAGGCCGAGTCGACCTAGGGGAGGCCCCAGGACCGGTTCAGAGAATCGTCACTGACGGTGTTGCTGGTGGCTGTGAGCGGGAATCAAACTCAGGTCTCTGACACAACTATGAGTAGTACTGGTACTAGTAGTACTGGTACTAGTAGTAGTAATACTAGTACTAGTAGTACTAGTAATACTAGTACTAGTATTACTAGTACTACTATTACTACCACTACTAGTGCCACTCCTAGTACTACTACCACTACTACTACCACTACCACGACTACCACTACTAGCACTATTACTACTAGCACCAGTACTAATAGTACTACTAGTAGTACTACTAGTACCAGTACTAATACTACCACTCCTACTAGCACCAGTACTAATAGTACTACTAGTACCAGTACTAATAGTACTACTAGTAGTACTACTAGTACCAGTACTAATACTACCACTCCTACTAGCACCAGTACTAATAGTACTACTAGTACCAGTACTAATAGTACTACTAGTACCAGTACTATTACTACCACTACTAGTAGCACGAGCACCAGTACTAATAGTACTACTAGTACCAGTACTATTACTACCGCTACTAGTGCCACTCCTACTACTACCAGTACTATTACTACTAGTAACAGTACTATTACTACTAGTACCAGTACTATTAGTAGTAGTACCAGTACTATTACTAGTAGTACCAGTACTATTACTCTGTGTGTGTGCTACTCACGCAGCTTCTCCAGTATCTCCTCATCCGTCATCTTGTTCCTGTAGTACCAGTACTATTACTAGTAGTACCAGTACTATTACTAGTAGTACCAGTACTATTACTAGTAGTACCAGTACTATTACTCTGTGTGTGCTACTCACGCAGCTTCTCCAGTATCTCCTCATCCGTCATCTTGTTCCTGTAGTACCAGTACTATTACTAGTAGTACCAGTACTATTACTAGTAGTACCAGTACTATTACTAGTAGTACCAGTACTATTACTACTAGTACCAGTACTATTACTAGTAGTACCAGTACTATTACTAGTAGTACCAGTACTATTACTCTGTGTGTGTGTGCTACTCGCGCAGCTTCTCCAGTATCTCCTCATCCGTCATCTTGTTCCTGTAGTACCAGTACTATTACTACTAGTACCAGTACTATTACTAGTAGTACCAGTACTATTACTAGTAGTACCAGTACTATTACTCTGTGTGTGTGTGCTACTCACGCAGCTTCTCCAGTATCTCCTCATCCGTCATCTTGTTCCTGTAGTACCAGTACTATTACTAGTAGTACCAGTACTATTACTAGTAGTACCAGTACTATTACTAGTAGTACCAGTACTATTACTCTGTGTGTGTGCTACTCACGCAGCTTCTCCAGTATCTCCTCATCCGTCATCTTGTTCCTGTAGTACCAGTACTATTACTAGTAGTACCAGTACTATTACTAGTAGTACCAGTACTATTACTAGTAGTACCAGTACTATTACTCTGTGTGTGTGCTACTCACGCAGCTTCTCCAGTATCTCCTCATCCGTCATCTTGTTCCTGTAGTACCAGTACTATTACTAGTAGTACCAGTACTATTACTAGTAGTACCAGTACTATTACTAGTAGTACCAGTACTATTACTCTGTGTGTGTGCTACTCACGCAGCTTCTCCAGTATCTCCTCATCCGTCATCTTGTTCCTGTAGTACCAGTACTATTACAAGTAGTACCAGTACTATTACTAGTAGTACCAGTACTATTACTAGTAGTACCAGTACTATTACTCTGTGTGTGCTACTCACGCAGCTTCTCCAGTATCTCCTCATCCGTCATCTTGTTCCTGTAGTACCAGTACTATTACTAGTAGTACCAGTACTATTACTAGTAGTACCAGTACTATTACTAGTAGTACCAGTACTATTACTCTGTGTGTGTGCGCTACTCACGCAGCTTCTCCAGTATCTCCTCATCCGTCATCTTGTTCTTGCGCCGCTGGCGATTGTCGTTCGGGGTCCCCACCGTCGCCGTGGCGACCGTCGCCGTGGCGACCGTCGCCGGGGCGGCCGTCGCCGGGGCGGCCGCCGCCGCCGCCGCCGACGGGAACGGCCTCGGCGACGTCGGCGTGGGCGACGGGGTCGGGCTGTCCGTCGGCGGGGTCATCGCCATGGAGACCGCCTCCTTCGGCTGCGCGGGGCGGCCGTCCCGGCGGAGGCGGCGGTTGTCACGGCGACGGGGAGGGCCGTCCCCGCGTTGACTGGCTGCTGCTGCTGCTGCTGCTGATGATGATGCTGATGATGATGCTGCTGCTGCTGCTGCTGGCTCCGGCTTACAGGCTCCAGCACCGAGCGGGTGTAGATCTGGCGCACAAGGACACGGACGAGCAAGGCGTGGTAGCGCAACCGCGGAGGAGCGCGCCCCGCCGGCGAGGAGGGCGCGGTGGGCAGGGCGGAGGAACCGGGCCGAGGGTCGCGGGGGGCCGTGCCTGGAGGCCCCCCCCCCGGACCGCTGCTCTGGCACAGCGGTCCCCCAACATGTTTGGCGGCACCGGCGACCGGTGTGTGGAGGGGGGGGGGGGAGGGGTTCATCGTTGGGTCTTCCCCCCCCCCCCCACCCCCGTTTCCCAAGAAGCTCTCGGAGGCGACGTTCGTTTTTACTTTTCCTTTCAGTCACTTTGGCTCCTGGGGGTTGTCGGCTTGCGGGCTTCACACCGACACCGCCCGCGGCTGAGACAGCGAGGCGGGGGGGGGCCACGCGTGCCGACTCGCCGCTCGCACCTCCCCGGGGGGCTTGGGGACCGGAGCTAGGCCACGCCGGGAGCATAAAAGGAAGCCGAGAGCGGCGGGGACGGGGCTCAGGGCTGCCGGATCTGGGAGCGGACTCGTCGCCGTCGCCGCTGAACGACGCCCCCCCAGCCCCCGGCCCCCGGCCCCCGCTAGGCGTTGCGCTATGACGGAAGAGCGGTCAGAGTCAGGTGGGGGGGGGGCGGGCGTTGTGTGCAGGCGAGGCTGAGCTACTGCGGGGAGAGTGCCCGGACGAGACCATGAAAGCTGTCGATGAAGAACGCCCCTAGAAGAACCCTGATGGATCGTTGACACCACGCGCGCGCGTGTGTGTGTGTGTGTGTGGGACTTCTTTCGCGCCGTACGTAGCCAACCGCGCTGTGTGTGTACGTGTGTGTCTTTAACTTGTGTGTACGTGTGAGACGAACTTCTTTCGCGCCGTACGTAGCCAACCGTGCCGTGCTATGTGTTGAACTTTGTGTGTCTTTAACCTCTTTCGCACCGTAACTAGCCAACCGCGCTGTGTGTACGAGTGTCTTAACGTCTTTCGCACCGTAACTAGCCAAGTGTTGTGTGTGTGTGTCTTTAACGTCTTTCACACCGTAACTAGCCAACCGTGCTGTGTGTACGAGTGTCTTTAACTTCTTTCACACCGTAACTAGCCAACCGTGCTGTGTGTGTGTGTCTTTAACGTCTTTCACATTGTAACTAGCCAACCGTGCTGTGTGTACGTGTGTGTCTTTAACTTCTTTCACACTGTAACTAGCCAACCGTGCTCTGTGTGTACAAGTGTCTTTAACTTCTTTTGCACCGTACGTAGCCAACCGTGCTGTGTGTGTCTTTAACGTCTTTCGCACCGTAAGTAGCCAACCGTGTTGTGTGTACGTGTGTCTTTAACGTCTTTCACACCGTACGTAGCCAACCGTGTTGTGTGTACGTGTGTCTTTAACTTCTTTCACACCGTAAGTAGCCAACCGTGCTGTGTGTGTGTCTTTAACGTCTTTCACACCGTAAGTAGCCAACCGTGCTGTGTGTGTGTGTGTCTTTAACGTCTTTCACACCGTAACTAGCCAACCGTGCTGTTTGTGTGTCTTTAACGTCTTTCACACCGTAAGTAGCCAACCGTGCTGTGTGTACGAGTGTCTTTAACGTCTTTCGCACAGTACGTAGCCAACCGTGCTGTGTGTGTGTGTCTTTAACGTCTTTCACACCGTAAGTAGCCAACCGTGTTGTGTGTGTGTGTCTTTAACGTCTTTCACACCGTAAGTAGCCAACCGTGCCGTGTGTGTGTGTCTTTAACGTCTTTCACACCGTAAGTAGCCAACCGCGCTGTGTGTACGAGTGTCTTTAACGTCTTTCACACCGTAAGTAGCCAACCGTGTTGTGTGTGTGTGTCTTTAACGTCTTTCACACCGTACGTAGCCAACCGTGTTGTGTGTGTGTGTGTCTTTAACGTCTTTCACACTGTACGTAGCCAACCGTGCCGTGTGTGTGTGCGTGTTGAACTTATTTCGCACCGTACGTAGCCACCCACGCCAATCGGTTAACATAGGGTAAAGGAGCAGCCCCTGCAAGTGCTTGCTCACGTAAAATTATTCCCAAAGGTCTCTGTCGAGACAAAGATCCCCCCCCCCCCCGTGTCGCCTTGGGCGAGTGGTGTTAGCAAGGGGGTGACGATGTTTACTAAGCTACACCGCTACACCGGGCACTCATCTGAGGCTGAGTCGACCTAGGGGGAGGCCCCAGGACCGGGTCAGAGAATCGTCACTGACGGTGTTGGTGGCGCTGAGGGGGAATCCCCCCACTGGGGAGCAGGTGGCCATCGTCAGGGGTCGGGATCGAACCCACGACCTCCTGTACTCCAGGCGAGGTCGTCAACATCTCGGCAAATACAGGTGTCGTCAGGGGTCAGGGTCGAACCCACGACCTCCCGCGTGCCAAGCGAGGTCGTCAACATCTCGGCAAATACAGGCGACGTCAGGGGTTGGGGTCGAACCCACGACCTCCTGTACTCCGGGCGAGGTCGTTAACATCTCTGTCAAATACAGGCGTCGTCAGGGGTCGGGATCGAACCCACGTCCCCCGCGTACCGGGAGAGGTCGTCAACATCTCGTGGCAATCAGCGGTCGCCCGCTCACCGATTTCGTGTGCTCGGGCCGAGGAGCGATGGCCGGAGGCGGGCTGTCGTCATCCTCGTCCTCCTCTCCTCCTCCTCGTCCTCCTCCTCCTCCTCCTCGTCCTCCTCCTCGTCGTCGTCGTCGTCGTCCGAGTCTTCATCCTCGGAGCAGGGCGGCGCCGGCGGGGGCTCCACCCACGCTTGCGGCTCTGCTGCAGCGTCGACTGCGGCTGCGGCGTTGGCAGCAGCAACAGCAGTTGTAGCAGTTGTAGTAGCAGCAGTTGTAGTAGCAGCAGTTGTAGTAGCAGTAGTAGCAGTAGCAGCAGCACCCACTCAATCGCCCATACACTCGCCCGCTCACTCGCCCGCCCAACCGGTCGCACGTTCTCCCGCTCGCTCGCCTGCTCGCCACCCACCCGCTCGCTCGCTCTCTCGCCCCGTCGCCCGCTCTCTCACCCGCTCAAACCGGTCGCACGTTCTCTTGCCCACGTGCTCGCCCACTCGCCCGCTCGCCCGCTCGCTCTCTCGCCCCGTCGCCCGCTCTCTCAACCCGCTCAACCGGTCGCACGTTCTCTCGCCCGCTCGCCGCCCGCTTGCTCGTTCTCCTACCCACTCTCTCGCCCGCTCGCCGCTCGTTCTCTCGCCAGCTCACCGGCCCGCACGCTCACCCACCCGCTCGCTCGCGCTCGCTCGTTCTCTCGCCCGCCTCGCTCTCTCACCAACTCACCCGCCCGCTCACTCGCTCGCCCGCTCGCCCGCCGCTCACTCGCCCGTCACTCGCCCGCTCTCTCGCCCACCCGCCCACTCGCTCGCCCTGGCTATACAACCATCCCACCCCCCCACTCCGGCATCCTCCGTTATCCGTGATGAGGAAGGATTTGTTTGCCCGGGGAAGCTTGTGAATAGCAAATTTGGCAGATAACGATATCAGCCTACGAAAGCTCTGTCTGTTAATTACCTTCAATAAATACACATGCCAGTTTGATCTCTCACCACGTTATCTCTCATCACTTTATCTCTCACTCGTAACTGGCTATCCTGACGCTACTACCCACACAGACTCGTAGAAAGATAAGATTTATTTTTATTTAAAGCTTTCGTGACTGCAATGATTCATCTTCTTTGGTTCTTTCGGTAAAGTCACGTAGAATGAGAATAAAATAATAAATTGATAAAATAAAATACCGCAATAATATTCTCACGACGTTTCGGCCACAACACAAGCGGCCTTCATCAGGTGAAGGGACGAGACTGTCTGGTAGGACAGCGCTGGAGTGAAAAAGCCACGTTCAGATCACGACCTTTAAGCTGAGGGTAAGAATCCACCCATTTTTTTCGCCATATAGCATGTGATATATAACGACTTATTGTTGGTAGCTTAGCTGATTGGAGAATATAGAGTTTATTGATACATTAAGGTAATTATATTTTAGTTTTTTATTGGTTCACTATATAGTACTGTGAATAGCTCAGATGTGTAGGCCTTGACTTCAACATAGCCATTTCTGTGACCAGTCACTGCTAATCACTCAGTTATTTCAATGCTAAATTCGCCTAGTTATTTCAATGCTAAATTATCCTGTTTGATTTGTACTAAGTGCCTCGGTGAATGTGTTAGGCTCTGACTTTAACATAGCTATTTCTGTGACCAGTTACAAGCTAATCACTCAGCTATTTCAATGCTAAATTCTATGCTAATTCCTTTGTCAAGGGGTGCCTCTGCGGATGTGTATGCTTTAACTTAGCTATTTCAATGCTAATTCTATGCTAATTCCTTTGTCAAGGGGTGCCTCTGCGGATGTGTATGCTTAACTTTTAACATAGCCATTTCTGTGACCAGTCACAAGCTAATCACTCAGCCATTTCAATGCTAAATTATATGCTAATTCCTTTGTCAAGGCGCTTTGTTTCCTCTCACACAGCTTAAAGGTCGTGATCTGAACGTGGCTTTTCACTCCAGCGCTGTCCTACCAGACAGTCTCGTTCCTTCACCTGATGAAGGCCACTTGTGTTGTGGCCGAAACGTCGTGAGAATATTATCGTGTTATTTTATCAATTTATTATTTTATTCTCATTCTACGTGACTTTACCGAAAGAACCAAAGAAGATTATTTTTTGTTTTTGCACTGGAGGAATCCGATGGGCCACAAAGCGTTTTTCTTGTTGTTGCTGTTGTTGTTGTTATCACAGGCGTCTAAGTCTGATGGGATGGGGATGGTCTAGTTGCACACATGTACGCATGTTATTTAGACTACGTTGGTGCTGTGAATGTCCAAATGACGGAGGCCACTTTTGTTGAGCCGTCATTTGCAGTGGCCAGGTGGCTTCTGAAAGTTTATAACTCAGCGGGGCTTCGTCTGGTATCACGGGGAATAATGGTTTAGAATTGCATTTGCGTTGATGCCTGGCCGAGCTGTTACCTCCCTTGTACTTTGCACTCCTATCGTGCGCTGGTATCGTTCGTCACGTCCTTACCCCCCGCGTGCCCACCGCACCGCCCCTACCGGACCGTCTGTGACGACAAAGAGCTTCGCAGCTCATCGGATTTCTCCGCCCCCCTCATGGCGACGGCCAGGATGCTCGCTTACTGATGAAGAGGCGATAGCACTCTCAGGGGGTGCCTTGGACGTGCTCAAATAAAGAATAGTTTACGGTTTGAAGAACTTTAAAGAATGCTAACACTTAGAAATGACATTTCGATTTAAAGCTTTCGTGACTGCAGGGATTCATATTCTTGGTTCTTTCGGCGAAGTCACCGCCACGTTAGAAGGGGAAACAATGAGATAATAAAAATATAAATCAATAAAATTATTGTAAAACAATGAAATATTATTCTTGGTTCTTTCGGTTAAAGTCACCGCCACGTTAGTAGGGGAAACAATGAAATAATAAAAATATAAAATAATAAAATTATTGTAAAACAATGAAATTATTATTCTTATTTTTTCCCCTTCTAACGTGGCGGTGACTTTAACCGAAAGAACCAAGAATAATAATTTCATTGTTTTACAATAATTTTATGTTTTATATTTTATTATTCATTGTTTCCCCTTCTAACGTGGCGGTGACTTAACCGAAAGAACCAAGAATAATAATTTTATGTTTTACAAAATTTTTATTGTTTTATATTTTATTATTTATTGTTTCCCCTTCTAACGTGGTGGTAACTTTAACCGAAAGAACCAAGAATAATAATTTTATGGTTTTACAATAATTTTATTGTTTTATATTTTTATTATTTTATTTTCCCCTTCTAACGTGGCGGTGACTTTAACCGAAAGAACCAAGAATAATAATTTTATTGTTTTACAATAATTGTATTGTTTTGTATTTTTATTATATTATTGTTTCCCCTTCTAACGTAGTGGTGACTTAACCGAAAGAACCAAGAATAATAATCTTATTGTTTTACAATAATTTTATTGTTTTGTTTTTATTATTTTATTGTTTCCCCTTCTAACGTGGCGGTGACTTTAACCGAAAGAACCAAGAATAATAATTTTATTGTTTTACAATAATGTATTGTTTTGTATTTTTATTATATTATTGTTTCCCCTTCTAACGTGGTGGTGACTTAACCGAAAGAACCAAGAATAATAATTTTATTGTTTTACAATAATTTTATTGTTTTGTATTTTTATTATTTTATTGTTTCCCTTCTAACGCGGTGGTGACTTTAACCGAAAGAACCAAAGAAAAATAATCTTATTGTTTTACAATAATTTTATTGTTTTATATTTTTATTATTTTATTGTTTCCCCTTCTAACGTGGCGGTGACTTTAACCGAAACAACCAAGAACACTTAAAAATAAGTTAATACTTTAGCGGGTTTTTGTCTGATCGGATGGGGGGGTGGTGGTGGTAGTGGCTTGCCATGTTCACCCCCTCTACACCGTTCATCATGCTAAGTCCGCCAATTAAATGCGAATTTTTTACGCTAATTCCTTTGTCAAGGCGCTCTGTTTCCTCTCACACAGCTTAAAGGGTCGCGGCCTGAGCGTGGCTCTGTTTCACTCCAGCGCTGTCCCTCCAGACGGCCTCTCGTCCCCCTTCACCCGATGAAGGCCGCTTGTGTTTTCGCCGAAACGTCGTGAGAATTTCTAGTCGTTCTACATTTCCTCCGCCCACGTGACTTTACCGAACAGAACCACAGGCGTGGATCCTCGCGGCCACGGAACGCTTCAAATCTCGAATTGGTGTGCTCAGTGTCGCGTCCGTCTGCCCTCCGTACTCGGCGCCACTCTCCCCGCTGTGTCTGTGGCCGCCTGTTGCCGTCACCCCCGCGTGCCCACCGCACCCCCACCGCGCCGTCCGTGAGGACAAAGAGCTTCGCAGCTCATCAGATTGCTCCTCCCGCGGTGCGAATGCATTGGCGGGCGCCATCGTGGCGTGGACAGAGAACCGATGGGCCCTACGTGGTGTGGTGGTGGTGGGGGTGGGGGTGGGTGGTGGGGGTGGTGGTGGTGGGGGTGGTGGTGGTGGGGGGTGGTGGGGTGGGGTGGTGGTGGTAGTGGTGGTGGTGGTGGGGTGGTGGGGGTGGGGGGTGGTGGGGGGGGGTGTGGGGGGTGGTGTGGTGGTGGTGGTGGTGTGTGGTAGTGGTGGTGGTGGTGGGGGTGGTGGTGGGGGGTGGTGGTGGTGGTGGTGGGGGGGTGGTGGTGTGGGTGGTGGTGGTGTTGGTGGTGGTGGTGGTGGTGGTGGTGGTGGTGTGGTGGTGGTGGTGGTGGTGGGGGTGGTGGTGGTGGTGGTGGTGGGGGGGGTGGTGGTGGGGGTGGTGGTGGTGGTGGGGGGGGGGGGGGTGGGGGGGGGGGCTCACCAGGCTGGAGTGGGGGGTCCTCAACTCGGCTGCCTTCTCTGCGAACGAGAAAACAAAAACCACGGGGGGGGGGGAGCGCGTGCCAGGCGCGGTGCGCGTCAACAGCGCCGTCACACATTGGGCGTTGTTAAGCGTCAACGGGGGTGATCGTCGTCGTCATGATCGCCATCGTCGTCGTCATGATCGCCATCGTCGTCGTCATGATCGCCATCGTCATTGTCGTCATCGTCATGATCGCCATCGTCGTGGTCATCGTCATCATCGCCATCGTCATCGTCGCCATCGCCATCGTCATCGTCATCATCGTCATCGTCGTCATCGTCATCGTCGTCATCGTCATCATCGTCATGATCGCCATCGTCGTGGGTCATCGTCATGATCGTCATCATCATCGTCATGATCGCCATCGTCATCGTCAGAACTACAATCATCATCGTCATCGTCATGATCGCCATCGTCATCATCAGAACCACAATCATCATCGTCATCGTCATGATCGCCATCGTCATCATCATCGTCACCATTGCCATCGTCATCGTCATGATCGCCATTATCATCGTCAGAACCACAATCATCATCGCCATTGTCGTTGTCATGATCGCTGTCGTCGTCATGATCGCCATCGTCGTCGTCATCATCGCCATTATCGTCAGAACCACAGTCATCATCGCCATTATCATCGTCAGAACCACAATCATCATCGCCATCATCATCGTCATGATCGCCATCGTCGTCGTCATGATCGCCATCGTCATTGTCATGATCGCCATCGTCATCGTCATTGTCGTCATCGTCATGATTGCCATCGTCGTGGTCATCGTCATCATCGCCATCGTCATCGTCATCATCGTCATCGTCGCCATCGCCATCGTCATCATCGTCATCGTCAATCGTCATCGTCATGATCGCCATCGTCGTGGTCATCGTCATGATCGTCATCATCATCGTCATGATCGCCATCGTCATCGTCAGAACCACAATCATCATCGTCATCATCATGATCGCCATCGTCATCATCAGAACCACAATCATCATCGTCATCGTCATGATCGCCATCGTCATCATCATCGTCACCATTGCCATCGTCATCATCGCCATCGTCATCATCGCCATCGTCATCGTCATGATCGCCATTATCATCGTCAGAACCACAATCATCATCGCCATTGTCGTCGTCATCATCGCCGTCGTCGTCATGATCGCCATCGTCGTCGTCAACATCGCCATTATCGTCAGAACCACAGTCATCATCGTCATCATCGCCATTATCATCGTCAGAACCACAATCATCATCGCCATCATCATCGTCATGATCGCCATCGCCGTCGTCATGATCGCCATCGTCATCGTCATGATCGCCATCGTCATCGTCATCGTCGTCATCATCATGATCGCCATCGTCGTGGTCATCGTCATCATCGCCATCGTCATCGTCATCATCGCCATCGCCATCATCATCATTGTCATCGTCATCGTCATCGTCGTCATCGTCATCATCGTCATGATCGCCATCGTCGTGGGTCATCGTCATGATCGTCATCGTCATCGTCATGATCGCCATCGTCATCGTCAGAACTACAATCATCATCGTCATCGTCATGATCGCCATCGTCATCATCAGAACCACAATCATCATCGTCATCGTCATGATCGCCATCGTCATCATCATCGTCACCATTGCCATCGTCATCATCGCCATCGTCATCGTCATGATCGCCATTATCATCGTCAGAACCACAATCATCATCGCCATTGTCGTTGTCATGATCGCTGTCGTCGTCATGATCGCCATCGTCGTCGTCATCATCGCCATTATCGTCAGAACCACAGTCATCATCGCCATTATCATCGTCAGAACCACAATCATCATCGCCATCATCATCGTCATGATCGCCATCGTCGTCGTCATGATCGCCATCGTCATTGTCATGATCGCCATCGTCATCGTCATTGTCGTCATCGTCATGATTGCCATCGTCGTGGTCATCGTCATCATCGCCATCGTCATCGTCATCATCGTCATCGTCGCCATCGCCATCGTCATCATCGTCATCGTCATCATCGTCATCGTCATGATCGCCATCGTCGTGGTCATCGTCATGATCGTCATCATCATCGTCATGATCGCCATCGTCATCGTCAGAACCACAATCATCATCGTCATCGTCATGATCGCCATCGTCATCATCAGAACCACAATCATCATCGTCATCGTCATGATCGCCATCGTCATCATCATCGTCACCATTGCCATCGTCATCATCGCATCGTCATCGTCATGATCGCCATTATCATCGTCAGAACCACAATCATCATCGCCATTGTCGTCGTCATCATCGCCGTCGTCGTCATGATCGCCATCGTCGTCGTCAACATCGCCATTATCGTCAGAACCACAGTCATCATCGTCATCATCGCCATTATCATCGTCAGAACCACAATCATCATCGCCATCATCATCGTCATGATCGCCATCGCCGTCGTCATGATCGCCATCGTCATCGTCATGATCGCCATCGTCATCGTCATCGTCGTCATCATCATGATCGCCATCGTCGTGGTCATCGTCATCATCGCCATCGTCATCGTCATCATCGCCATCGCCATCATCATCATTGTCATCGTCATCGTCATCATCGTCATCGTCATGATCGCCATCATCGTGGTCATCGTCATGATCGTCATCATCATCGCCATGATCGCCATCGTCATCGTCAGAACCAATCATCATCGTCATCATGATCGCCATCGTCATCATCAGAACCACAATCATCATCGTCATCGTCATGATCGCCATCGTCATCATCATCGTCACCATTGCCATCGTCATCATCGCCATCGTCATCGTCATGATCGCCATTATCATCGTCAGAACCACAATCATCATCGCCATTGTCGTCGTCATCATCGCCGTCGTCGTCATGATCGCCATTGTCGTCGTCATCATCGCCATATCGTCAGAACCACAGTCATCATCGTCATCGTCATCATCGCCATTATCATCGTCAGAACCACAATCATCATCGCCATCGTCATCGTCATGATCGCCATCGTCGCCGTCATCGTCATGATCGTCATCGTCATGATCGCCACCGTCATCGTCATCGTCATGATCGCCACCGTCATCGTCATCATCATCATCATCATGATGATCATCATCACCATCGCCATCATCATCGTCGTCGTTGTCATCGTCATGATCGCCACCGTCATCGTCATCATCGTCATCATCATGATGATCATCATCACCATCGCCATCATCATCGTCGTCGTTGTCATCGTCATGATCATCATCATCACCATCACCATCGCCATCATCATCACCATCACCATCTTCATCATCATCGCCATTATCATCGTCAGAACCACAATCATCATCGCCATCGTCATCGTCATGATCGTCATCGTCATGATCGCCATCGTCATCGTCATCATCACCATCGCCATCATCATCATCGCCATCATCGTCGTCGTCGTCATCGTCACGATTCATCACCATCAACATCACCATCGTCATCATCATCATCGCCATTACAGTTATCGTCATCGCCATGATCGTCATCATCGCCATCATCATCATCATCATCGCCATCATCATCATCAGAACCTCCACCCTCATCGTAACCATCAACACCATAATCAGAACCACCATTGCTCCGGGTGACTGACCGTCTGAGCGGGCAACGTGGTTGCGGTGATCATCGTCATCGTCATCATTATGATGATCATCATCACCATCGCCATCATCATCGTCGTCGTCATCGTCATAATCATCCCCATCAACATCACCATCGCCATCGTCATCATCATCGCCATTATAGTTATCGTCATCGCCATGATTGTCATCATCGCCATCATCATCATCATCATCGCCATTATCATCGTCAGAACCACAATCCATCAATCCGCCATCATCATCGTCATCATCGTCATCATCATGATGATCATCATCACCATCATCATCATCATCGCCAATCATCATCGTCGTCCATTGTCATTGTCATGATCATCATCATCAACATCACCATCGCCAACGTCATCATAATCGCCATTACAGTTATGGTCATCGCCATCATGATCGTCATCAATCATCATCATCGTCATCATCATCGCCATCACCTCCACCCTCATCGTACCATCAACACATAATCATAACCACCATTGGTCCGGGTGACCGACCGTCTGAGCGGGCGATGTGCTTGCGGTGATCATCGTCATCGTCGTCATCATCGCCATCATCATCGTCGTCATCGTCATGATCATCACCATCAAAATCACCATCGCCATTAATCGTCATCATCGCCATCATCATCATCATCATCGCCATTATCATCGTCAGAACCACAATCATCATCGCCATCATCGTCATCATCATGATGATGATCATCATCATCATCATCGCCATCACCTCCACCCTCATCGTAACCATCAACACCATAATGATGACCACCATTGCTCCGGGCGACCGACCGTCACCGAGCGTGCGACGTGGTTGCGGTGATCATCGTCATCGTCATCATCGCCATCATCATCGTCATCATCATGATGATCATCATCATCATCATCACCAGAACCTCCACCTCATCGTAACCATCAACACCATAATGATGACCACCATTGCTCCGGGTGACCGAGCGACTGAGCGAGCGAGAGACGTGTGCTTGCGGTGATCATCGTCATCATTATTGCCACCATCGTCATCGGCCATCATCATCATCATCATCATCACCAGAACCTCCACCCTCATCGTAACCATCAACACCATAATGATGACCACCATTGCTCCGGGTGACCGAGCGACTGAGCGAGCGAGAGACGTGGGCTTGCGGGGCGTACCGGGCAGCGAGGAGAAGCTCATGTACTTCTGGTGGACGCTCTCCTTGGAGTCGTAGAACTTGAGCACGTCCAGCACGGCCTGAGGGTTGCGCTTCTGCTCCGACACGCTGATGTTGGAGATCTGCAGCAGCCGCGCCCACTGGCTCGGCATGCCCTGCCACGCCGGCACACGTTAGCACCGGGGGGGGGGGGGAGGGGGGGGGGGGGGAGGGGAGCACGGGGGGGGGGGGCAAGGGGGGAGCACCGGGGAGGAGTGGGAGGGGAGGAGAGGGGAGGCGGGGGGGTGAAGGGGGGGGAGCAGTGGGGGTGAAGGAGGGGAGCAGTGGGGGTGAAGGGGAGGGAGCAGTGGGAGTGAAGGGGGGAGCAGTGGGAGTGAAGGGGGGAGAAGTGGGGTGAAGGGGGGGGAGAAGTGGGGGTGAAGGGGAGGGAGCAGTGGGGGTGAAGGGGGGGAGCAGTGGGGGTGAAGGGGAGGGAGCAGTGGGGGTGAAGGGGAGGGAGCAGTGGGGGTTGAAGGGGAGGGAGCAGTGGGGGTGAAGGGGGGAGCAGTGGGAGTGAAGGGGGGGAGCACGTGGGGTGAAGGGGGGGGAGCAGTGGGGGTGAAGGGGGGAGCAGTGGGGGTGAAGGGGAGGGAGAAGTGGGGGTGAAGGGGGGAGCAGTGGGGGTGAAGGGGGGGAGCAGTGGGGGTGAAGGGGGGAGCAGTGGGGGTGAAGGGGGGAGCAGTGGGGGTGAATGGGGGGGAGCAGTGGGAGTGAAGGGGGGGGAGCAGTGGGGGTGAAGTGGGGGAGCAGTGGGTGAAGGGGGGGAGCAGTGGGGGTGAAGGGGGGGGAGCAGTGGGGGTGAAGGGGGGAAGCAGTGGGGGTGAAGTGGGGGGAGCAGTGGGGTGAAGGGGGGGGAGCAGTGGGGGTGAAGGGGGAGCAGTGGGGGTGAAGGGGAGGGAGCAGTGGGGGTGAAGGGGGAGCAGTGGGGGTGAAGGGGGGGGAGCAGTGGGGTGAATGGGGGAGCAGTGGGAGTGAAGGGGGGAGCAGTGGGGGTGAAGGGGGGAGCCAGTGGGGTGAAGGGGGGAGCAGTGGGGGTGAAGGGGGAGCAGTGGGGGTGAAGGGGGGAGCCAGTGGGGGTGAATGGGGGGAGCAGTGGGGGTGAAGGGGGGGGGAGCAGTGGGGGTGAAGGGGAGGGAGCAGTGGGGGTGAATGGGGGGAGCAGGGGGGTGAATGGGGGAGCAGTGGGGGTGAAGGACGGGAGCAGTGGGGGGTGACGGGGGGAGCAGTGGGGGTGAAGGGGGGAGCAGTGGCGGTGAAGGGGGGAGCAGTGGGGGTGAAGGGGGGGAGCAGTGGGTGAAGGGGGGGGAGCAGTGGGGTGAAGGGGGGGGAGCAGCTGGGTGAAGGGGGGGAGCAGTGGGGGTGAAGGGGGGGAGCAGTGGGGGTGAAGGGGGGGAGCAGTGGGGGTGAAGGGGAGCAGTGGGGGGGAGCAGTGGGGGGTGAAGGGGGGGGAGCAGTGGGGTGAAGGGGGGGAGCAGTGGGGGTGAAGGGGGGAGCAGTGGGGGTGAAGGGGAGGGAGCAGTGGGGGTGAAGGGGAGGAGCAGTGGGGGTGAAGGGGAGGAGCAGTGGGGGTGAAGGGGGGAGCAGTGGGAGTGAAGGGGGGAGCAGTGGGGGTGAAGGGGGGGAGCAGTGGGGGTGAAGGGGGGAGCAGTGGGGGTGAAGGGGAGGGAGAAGTGGGGGTGAAGGGGGGAGGGAGTGTGGGTGAAGGAGGGGAGCAGTGGGGGTGAAGGGGGAGCAGTGGGGGTGAAGGGGGGAGCCAGTGGGGGTGAAGGGGGGGAGCAGTGGGAGTGAAGGGGGGGGAGCAGTGGGGGTGAAGGGGGGAGCAGTGGGGTGAAGGGGGGGGAGCAGTGGGGGTGAAGGGGGGGAGCAGTGGGGGTGAAGGGGGGAGCAGTGGGGGTGAAGGGGGGGAGCAGTGGGGGTGAAGGGGGGGGAGCAGTGGGGGTGAAGGGGGGAGCAGTGGGGGTGAAGGGGAGGGAGCAGTGGGGGTGTGAAGGGGGGAGCAGTGGGGTGAAGGGGGGGGGAGCAGTGGGGGTGAAGGGGGGAGCAGTGGGAGTGAAGGGGGAGCAGTGGGGGTGAAGGGGGGAGCAGTGGGGGTGAAGGGGGGAGCAGTGGGGGTGAAGGGGGGAGCAGTGGGGGTGAAGGGGGGAGCAGTGGGGGTGAAGGGGGGAGCAGTGGGGGTGAAGGGGGGGGAGCAGTGGGGGTGAAGGGGAGGGAGCAGTGGGGGTGAATGGGGGGGAGCAGTGGGGGTGAATGGGGGGGAGCAGTGGGGGTTGAAGGAGGGAGCAGTGGGGGGTGAAGGGGGGAGCAGTGGGGGTGAAGGGGGGAGCAGTGGCGGTGAAGGGTGGAGCAGTGGGGGTGAAGGGGGGGAGCAGTGGGGGTGAAGGGGGGGGAGCAGTGGGGGTGAAGGGGGGGGAGCAGTGGGGGTGAAGGGGAGGGAGCAGTGGGGGTTGAAGGGGGGGGGTAGCAGTGGGGTGAAGGGGGGAGCAGTGGGGGGGGAGCAGTGGGGGTGAAGGGGGGGGAGCAGTGGGGGGTGAAGGGGGGGGAGCAGTGGGGGTGAAGGGGGGAGCAGTGGGGGTGAAGGGGGGAGCAGTGGGGGTGAAGGGGGGAGCAGTGGGGGTGAAGGGGGAGCAGTGGGGGTGAAGGGGGGGGAGCAGTGGGGCGTGAAGGGGGAGCAGTGGGGGTGAAGGGGGAAGCAGTGGGGGTGAAGGGGGGGGAGCAGTGGGGTGAAGGGGGAGCAGTGGGGGTGAAGGGGGGGGAGCAGTGGGGGTGAAGGGGAGGGAGCAGTGGGGGTGAAGGGGGGGAGCAGTGGGGGTGAAGGGGGGAGCAGTGGGGGTGAAGGGGGGGGAGCAGTGGGGGGGGAGCAGTGGGGTTGAAGGGGGGAGCAGTGGGGGGGGGGCAGTGGGGGTGAAGGGGGGAGCAGTGGGGGTGAAGGGGGGAGCAGTGGGGGTGAAGGGGGGAGCAGTGGGGTGAAGGGGGGGGGAGCAGTGGGGGGGGGGGGTAGTGCAGTGGGGGTGAAGGGGGGAGCAGTGGGGGGGGGAGCAGTGGGGGGGGGGTAGTGCAGTGGGGGAGCAGCAGGGGGCGGTGTGAATGACTCCGATGGCGAATGAATGACAGGACTGTGGGGGTTGGAGGATGGTTATCAAGTGGCGGAGTACGAATAACCAAAACAAAACTTTTTATTAAGATTTACCGGCTAAGGCCCCACTGTCTTTATCAGACGCGACCACATGGCAGTCACAAATGAAAGCAGCTCAACCAAGTGGCCGCTCATCACCACCACCATCATCACCATCATCATCACCATCATCATCACCACCACCATCATCACCATCATCATCACCATCACCATCATCACCATCATCATCACACCACCATCATCACCATCATCATCACCATCACCATCATCACCATCACCGCCATCGCCATCGCCGCGTGGAAATTTACGGCAGAGGCCAGATAACCGGGAGGCCCTGAAGGAGAAATCCACGCGGCCTCGGAGAGAACGTTGCGTAGACACAGGCGGTCCTCGGCTGGCCACGGAGAAGCGTTACCGTGGCAAGGCTAAAAATATCGCAAGTCGAAGGCGGCGGCCCCTAGCCTACCCAGGAGCCTTAAAAACACGGCGATCGTTTCGCAAAACACGGAGCGATTTACGGCACCGAAACTGTATCACAACTATGTCCGTAGCTCTTTCGGTGAAGTCACGCTGAAGGGAAACAATAAAAGATATTGTTTTTATATATATATTTTATTATTTTATTGTTTCCCCCTTCAACGTGACTTTACCGAAAGCGCTAAGAATATGAATTACTGCAGTCGCGAAAAGCTTTAAATCGAAATGTATCAGCTATATAGTGCATGTATTTACGAATTACAATGCTGTATTGCACGGGAAAATGTTGAGCAAAAAAGCAAGGTAAATTCTTCGCCTACCTATACGAACTGCAATTTCACCGGAAGGCGGGAGACGCGTACATCCCGGCATCGTCCCGACGTACGGTTGCCGTACCTCGTAACGCTGCCGCGTTTAGCCTGCCGCGCGGAACTCGAAAGATTCTACGATTTTGTGAGATCGAAATGTCGCAAGTCGGACCCCCCGCAAGCCGGGGGCTATCCGCGTCGTAAGCCGGGGACTATCTGCATACACAGCAGGCGTCGTCGGGGTTGAGATCGAATCGACGACCTCCCGCGTACCGGGCGAGGTGGTCGACATCTCGCCGAGTGCAGAAGCGACCTGGACATCACAAACGATAGCTGCTGCTCGTCGTCGTCGAAGCGTGTAAATTGAAAGCAAGTCGCCAGAAGGGCCTTCCAATAAACTCACCGTGAACTCGCCGGTCATGGCGTCAAAGCCCACGTGCACCGTGTGCTCAAAGTCCGAGGGGAGAGAGATCTCGGGGCGCTCCTTGGGGACACTTTTCTCTGGGGGGGAGAAGGGTGGGGGAGGTGGGGGGGGGGGAAGGGGGGCGAAGGTGGGGGGAAGTGGGGGGGGGGAAGAGAGGGCAGGGGTGGGGGGGAAGGGGGCAGGAGGGGGGGGGTGAAAGGGAATGAAGGTGGTGGGGAAGGGGGGAAAGGGAGGGAAGGGGGGCCGAGGTGGGGGGAAGTGGTGGGGGGGAAGGGGGGGCAGAGGTGGGGGGAAGTGGTGGGGGGGAAGAGGAGGCAGAGGTGGGGAAGGGGGTCACAGGGGTCACGCCAGGACCCTAACATACACTCCATATTCTCTCCGCCCAAAAAAATATCAACGTGAAAAATCAAGCCTTGATGTGTGTGTGATTATGGTAATGATGATGGTGCTTTGTGATTCTGATGATGGTGGTGGTTCTGTACGTGTGTGTTGAACTTCTATTCACACCATACGCAGTCAACGGAGGTGCGGCGGGGAAGGACAACAAACTAAACACAACAAACAGCAGTTGTAAAGAGATGAGTTTGTCAATCTGGACGATGATTTAAAAGTGGTGGAAGCGGCGTCACAGGAAGTGACGTCACAGGAAGTGGCGTCATGGTAAGCGGCGTCACGGGAAGTGACGTCACAGGAAGTGTCAGAAGTGGTGTCACAGCAAGTGACGTCACAGGAAGTGTCAGAAGCGGCGTCACAAGAAGCGGCGTCACAGGAAGCGACGTCACAGGAAGTGTCAGAAGCGGCGTCACAGGAAGTGACGTCACAGGAAGTGTCAGAAGCGGCGTCGCAGGAAGTGGCGTCACGGGAAGTGACGTCACAGGAAGTGTCAGAAGCGGCATCACAGGAAGTGACATCACGGAAAGTGACGTCACAGGAAGTATCAGAAGTGGCGTCACAGGAAGCGGCGTCGCGGGAAGTGACGTCACAGGAAGTGTCAGAAGCGGCGTCAGAGGAAGTGGCGTCACAGGAAGTGACGTCACAGGAAGTGCCAGAGGGCGCATCACAGGAAGTGACGTCACAGGAAGTGACGTCACAGGAAGTGCCAGAAGCGGCGTCACAGGAAGTGGCGTCACAGGAAGTGTCAGATGTGGCGTCACAGGAAGCGGCGTCACAGGAAGTGACGTCACAAGAAGTGTCAGAAGCGGCGTCACAGGAAGTGATGTCACAGGAAGTGTCAGAAGCGGCATCACAGGAAGTGACGTCACAAGAAGTGTCAGAAGCGGCGTCACAGGAAGCGATGTCACAGGAAGTGTCAGAAGCGGCATCACAGGAAGTGACGTCACAAGAAGTGTCAGAAGCTGCGTCACAGGAAGCGGCGTCACAGGAAGCGGCGTCACAGGAAGCGGCGTCACAGGAAGTGTCAGAAGCTGCGTCACAGGAAGCGGCGTCACAGGAAGCGGCGTCACAGGAAGCGGCGTCACAGGAAGTGTCAGAAGCTGCGTCACAGGAAGCGGCGTCACAGGAAGCGGCGTCACAGGCAGTCACGTCACAGGAAGTGTCAGAAGCTGCGTCACAGGAAGCGGCGTCACGGGAAGTGACGTCACAAGAAGTGTCAGAAGCTGCGTCACAGGAAGCTGCGTCACAGGAAGCGGCGTCACAGGAAGTGACGTCACAGGAAGTGTCAGAAGCTGCGTCACAGGAAGCGGCGTCACAGGAAGCGACGTCACAGGCAGTCACGTCACAGGAAGTGTCAGAAGCTGCATCACAGGAAGTGACGTCACAGGAAGTGTCAGAAGTGGCGTCAGAGGAAGCGGCGACACAGGAAGTGACGTCACAGGAAGTGTCAGAAGCTGCGTCACGGGAAGCGGCGTCACAGGAAGTGACATCACAAGGAAGCGGCGCTCCTCACTCTTGTCCTGGAAAATGGACATGAGCCTGGCCTTGCGGTTCTTCTCCTCCGGCGCGGAGGGCAGGGGCTTTGCCGAGCCGGCCTCGCGCTCCCGGGGCCCGCCGCTGCACCCCACCGACGCCGAGTTGAGCAACGCCGAGTTCATTCTGACCGGAGGGGTTGGCGCTTTGTCCTGGACCTCAACATAACCGGACATCCTAGGGGGGCGTCAGCTGGTGGGTGGGTGGTGGTGGGGGTCAGGGGAGGATAACATTGTGAAGGGTGGGGGGGGGGCAGACAGAGAGAGAGAGACGGGGGGGGGGAGAAGAGGCAACTTCACTCGCGAGCGTTAACGACGTCGAAATAACCACCTCATCGTTCGTAAGCGGCGCGGAGAAACGAGGCGAGGCATGGTGGAGTGCACCGTCAATGTTGTTGATTCACTCTTCAACACACCGGCGGGCTAAAGCAGTGAACTGTTTTGTCCTTTGCAAACGTGACGCGTTTTTTTTACTGCTTGGCCGTGTCGGGTGGTGGAGGGTTACGACACATTTATAAATAACGCGACCTCACCCAAAAACCTTTTTATCGTGGATAATATCGGTCGCCAAAGCCTACGTGGTAAACTGGAGTGCATCCGTCGGACGTTTTGTTGAATCCGCTTGCAAGTCACTACTTAACCCGTTGGGGATACCTCAACAAAATTAACGATTGGTTAAAATATCGTTCATTCTGAATGCGTTACTCAATCCGCTTGTCCTGGTGAGGGTCGTGGTGGCAGCGTGTTGAGAGTGGCGGTCCAGACCTCCCTTTCCCTGGCAACATACTCTAGCTCTACATTACTATAAACTACTATACACAACTACACTATACACTACTATACACGACATTATACACCACGATACTAGACTGCTATACACTACACTATACACTACTATAAACTAGAATATACACTACTACACTAAACTCTACACTACACTACTCTACACTACACTACACACTACTATACATTACTATACACTACACTACTATACACTACACTACTATACACTACACTATACACTACACTACTATGCACTACACTACTATGCACTACACTACTATACACTGCACTACTATACACTACACTACTATACACTACACTACTATACACTATACTACTATACACTACACTATACACTACTATACACTACACTATACACTACACTACTATACACTACACTACTATACACTACACTACTATACACTACACTACTATACACTACACTACTATACACTACACTGCTATGCACTACACTACTATACACTTTACTACTACACACTACACTACTATACACTACACTATACACTACACTATACACTACACTACTATACACTACACCAGGGGTCACCAAACTTTTTTCACAGTGGGCCGGATAACTGAAAGAATGACGAGTGCGGGCCGCATAATAAATAAATATTCATGGAGCGTCGGACCTGTGTTGACAGCTGGAAAATCTGGGGGCGGTAAAGATGCGTGTTTGTGTGTGTTGCCATGGAAACCATGGCGACGTGTTGCCATGACGTTGCCATGGAAACCACGGCAACGTCAGAGCGTAGGCGGAGCTACCACGAGCCGGGGAAGTACTTGGGATGGTGCGAAATAAGCAAACGTTACAATAAACGAGAAAATCTAGATGCAATCATTTAAAATTTAAAATAGTAAATTTAAGGAACATAACAGTCAGGAGGTCTCCGCACGCGTGAAGATCTCCTAGTATTCTAAACATAATATTTAATTTAAATTGCATCACAACGTCTCGTGTTCAATAAGGTTTTATCAACCAACATTCAAGTACCGTCGGCGGGCCTGATGGACTGACGCATCCGGCCCGCGGGCCGTAGTTTGGTGACCCCTGATCTAAACAATCGCTATCCGTGGTGCTAGCGTTTAAACATAAATAAATAGAAACCGCCACTTCTTTCAAATGTTTCTTGCCGTTGGTTTTCACACCTGATGATGACTTGCTTGTGTTGTTGCAGTCGAAACGTCGTGAGAATTTTATTGTTTTGCATATATATATTTTATTCTTTTATTGTTTCCCCTTTCTACGTGGTGACTTTACCGAAAGAACCAAGACTATGAATCACTGCAGTCACGAAAGCTTTAAATAAAGGCATAGTTAGGCTCAGGATCAAACCCGTGACCTCCTGTATGCCAAGCGAGATGGTTAACATCTCCTACCGACCGTGGCACCCCCAAATTTACACAGGAGGGTCCTGCCAATTGTGTCACGGTTGGGTTGAGTGATGTCGCTGCTGCTGCTGCTGCTTAATCGCAGTCGAGTACAGTCCCATTCTCCTGGAACAAAGCGGTAGTAGTAGCGGCGGCTGCGTTCCTGAAGAACACCACGTTAATGGAAGAATCGCGTTACAATAAATCTACGTATATAAAAAGGGAAATCTGTGAACGTGCCTGTCCAAAATTGTTTAGCGTACTTCCCGACATGCAACAAACTTGAAATTTGGCATGTGGGTAGCTTCCAGACTGTACACAATGCAAAAAAGTATAACTGCTGCTGCTGCTGTTGTATTTTGGGGGCGGGGTGCAATAATGGATATATTTTTGCACGGCAATGTGAGCGGTGACGTCACATCTGTGATGTCACCAGCACGCGGCAGCGTCACGCAGGGTGCCTGCTGACGTCACGCATCCCCCACCCCCCCCCAACCCACCCTCCGCGTAGGCCGTGTATTAATCCAAGACAAGAATCCAAGTCGCGGGCGAAGCCGGGCAGTAAAGCTCGTAACATATACTACGGGAGGGGTAAAGCACGGCCAGCGATAGCAACGCCGAGATGGGTACTCAGGCACGGATAAAGACTGAGGGTGGGGGGGTAGCCATCTAGAAGCATCCGGCAGCATCTCAATGCCTCGTGCGATGGCGACGATGACGACGCTACAGCTAGGCGGCCATTACCTCCGCCGCTTGTTAACTACCTTGCCTGGTATACAGGAGGTCGTGGGATTGATCCCGACCCCTGCTGTATATTTGGAGCTTGCGTTGTCTCTTATCATCATCACCATGGTGGCTAGGAGGTGTTATCTCCCTCGCCTAGTGTATAGGAGGTCGTGGGATTGATCCCGACCCCTGCTGTATATTGGGAGTTGTGTCTCTCTGCCCGTGGTGGCGTGGAATTTTCCGCGCTCCTTGTGTTTTGTCCCGCTATAAATTTCCACGTGCACAAGCCGCTGCATCGAGCTATCATTCGTGATGGCCAGGTCGCTTCTGAAAAAAATACCTCAGTGGGGGCCTTACCTGGTAACATTATAATAGTTGAGGTTTGAGTTCAGAGTGTGGCTACGGAAGGGAAAACCACAGAACCTAAAGGGAACCGATTGGAGAACAAGGGGAGGAGAGGATGGTGTTAGTTAGACTTTTAACCCTTATTATTATAGTAAGACCTGTTTTAAAACTTATTTAAGATTTTAGATTCCTATATGTTGAATGTATGCACCATCCTGCCAAAGTAAATGCCGTGTCAGTGTGAACTTTCATGGCGAATAAAACCCTTTCTGATTCTGACTCACACTCACTCGACTATTAAAATACTTTATATTTACCAGGCAAGGCCCCAACTGAGCTATGTCGCTCTTGTTCAGTCGTGCCCGGCTTCCACAAATGATAGCTCATCGAAGTGTGTAGTGCAGTGTGCATTGTAACGTGGTGCGTAAGTGCAGCGTCCAGTGGTGTGTATTGCAGTGTCCCATGCAGCGCATCGATGTTGAACTTCTTTCGTAACCCTACGTAGCCAACCGTGCTGATCCGAGGTGCGGGATACAGACGACAAGCCAAGCACTCAAAAAAAGGTAGCTCTAAGGAAATCAGTTGGCTTATCGTGCGCTGCCTTAACGCACCGTTGGGACGAGTGCTGGTAACCAGTAGCGCCTACGAAGGTCAAAACGGCACGCAAAGAGTTGGGTGGCCCAACACCACGCCCGGCCGCCTTTGTCTCCCTCGTGGCAATGTTTACACGCCGCGCCAGGTGCTCTTTCGAGGCCGAGTCCACCTTCAAATGAAATAAAATGTTTCGTCGCTCCGGATGACCGCTGCAAAGTATGATCTGTATTTTGATTTAGCGTGCCGATCTTGAAGGTGCATTGAAAGATTTGATGCTCGGACCGATGCTCCTGTTGTTGCGGAGTGACTCATGCAGCCAGCTGTGGCTCTAGGGTTTGGTGTTGCATGTTATTATTTATGTAGTTTATTGTTAAAAAAAATTCGGTCACAGTCCTTGTGATCACTGTTACGTTGCAATTACGGCTTTATTTTTTGGTGATTTGGAAAACGTTTTTTTTTGGTTTGGACATGTTTGTTTTGTGTTGTAGTAACGGAGTTAGACTGATGGCCTTAATCTAATCTTGCATCCCACTGGGATTTTTTTGCAGAGCGTTGGTGTACGATGCTTTTTTCAGGAATATTTTTGCTGATTTTTTTTTCCCCATGGATTTTCTGTTTGCACGAAGTCACCACACGTAGTCACTTGAAGACGTTTTTCTTGTTCGTGTTTTTGTTTTTTTTGTTTGTTGTGGTTGCACTCCGATTCAAGAGCCGGATGGCTCACAGGGCTATACCAAAAGAAACTGAAACAAGCGAGACCCAGGACCGGTGCTAATAATCCCCGCCGGTTGTTGCAGGCACCGAGTGGGAATCGAAACCCGGGTGGGCCGGGTTTGCAGTGCAGGGCGGTGTGTGACCGGGACGATACGGCTTACCTCCACCCTCACCCGTACAAGTCGCCCCTACGCTCATTCGCACTTTTAGAACCAGGGCTGGCATCGGGAGAGGCTGACACCTGAAGCCCATTGCTCACGCCACGAGAGAGCAGGGTTCGAGATAGCCCATCGAGAGGGCAGTTTTAAACTGATCGGCAGAGACCCATAAGGCTCACAGGCACCCATTGGCTCACCCAGAGCGCCCGTAGACCCTCACAGAGACCAACACTCACACAGACACCCATAGATTCGTCCCACAGAGGCCCATACACGCACCACAAATAGACCCATAGACTCACGCAGAGACCCATAGACTCACGCAGAGAGACCCATAAATTCTTCCCACAGAGGCCCATACACCCACCACAAATAGACCCACAGAGTCATCACGCAGAGACACACAGACTCACCACACAGAGACCCATAGACTCACCACACAGAGACCCACAGAATCATCACACAGAGACCCATAGACTCA